TTGTTAGCAAACGTTAAAATGTTTTACGGTTTCTCATTTCAGCGTGTCAGTCACTGCCTCTGAACTGCTTCCTCTTGTGACATCGGATATGACTGATCTTCTTTATTTTACCGCCGCAAAAGTGAGCATAACTGTGAGAATTAGCTAACATTCCCTTGGTAGATGGTCATCTTATTTTCCCACCTTCCTATGGGACCGGTCTTTCACAGACTTTCCGTGGTTTCTGTCAACGCTTCCTACAACTTCCGGTTGCGTTAACTGAAAATCCCTTATCCTGTCTTGGAAATAACAACCATATATGTCAAGGGTAACTTGCTTCGATCCTTGGATCCTTGATACTTTTTATCAGCTTCGTACCAGCACAAAAAGTTGGTGAGTGTATTCCCTCTGAAATGTGCTGTGTAACATGACAGTCAATATGGATTTCATATTTCCCGGAGTCGAGGTTGTGTATTTCCGTATACTAAAGCTGTTATTTTATATATTTGCATGACTTAAAAGGCTGTTACCGACATCTTCACCACCTAATTTCGCCTCCAGTGTTGTATATCCCCCCATGTTACCAGTGGACACGTATCAACCGGGATTTTATGAGCCACTGCAGGCGCTGACGCTTGTTGTTGCTAGCTATGGCTTCTCCATATACCTTTAGAAACGACGTTTTTCAGGGGGTATGCAGTAATGGCCGCCAAGTTATGATTTGCAAAGTTGATTGTCCGGAAGAGTCCACCTCCATTGAAGATATAACGGGTTACACGTAGCATGAAGCAGATAAAGTTGTGAGGGAAACTTATGACATGGGTGCACTGCTGATCACCCCCGTTTTTCAGCTACAAACGATTAAGGTGCATGATAATTTAATACTTGAACTTCTGGTCGACCCATTAACTTTGAGTGGTTCGGGCTGCTGAATAACAAGTTTGAATTCTCTACGATTGAAAAAGGGTATCCGTCGAATATGAAGCCCTCAGAATTGGCAGTTTGTCTGAGTAAAACCGATTACAGGTTCAGTTGTAGAGGACAAACATCTTCCTTGGTACTCCGGGCACAGTCGCTGCGTCAGTGGATGCAAAAGATGAAGATGTTGAGGTAAGCTGCGCTCCTTCAATGCATACTGCAATCACTCCCCCACCTGTGGCATGCGTATCACTTGATACACCCACTTAATTTTACCTAGGTTACATAGATACAGTGTACCTTCATTATCAACCTCCTCCCGCAGCCTGCCGTTCATCAACTGTAACGTTGTAGAGGGTGTACTTTGCTAAGTTCGCTTTGGGAACACCCAAAATGCAAATTTTCATCAGAAGTGTGGTGGCATGCTGGAAGCAGCATTAATTTCTGACCACGGTTTTCCAATGTATTTGGCAAGCTCCTGAGGTTTGTCACCAGCTAAGGCTCTCACGACCCCTTCCAAAGCTATCCCTACAGGGGACGCAGGACATCTTTCATGGCGTCACCCCCTTACCTTCCTACTTTGGCGAGAAAGTGCACTTCGGTGCAAAACGTGCCTTCTGCCACCCAGAAGTACATTTTTATGAGAATTATGAGAATTATAGCAGTGTGCCAGAGGACTTTACACACTGAGCCGCCGGAAAGCATTGCACTAGAATCCACTATGAATCTTACTAGGTTGCGAAATCCACGTTACCGGAACGATGAGAGCTGCCTGCATGTAATTACGCGCTAATGACTTCCATTTAGATATATAAGAAAGGATATCTGTGGCTTAACTTTCACACCTGCGGCTCACCCAAATGTGACTGATGCCCAAGCTTGCAAGATGATCTAAATAAAATATATTTTGGAATGCAATACTGTTTTGAAGGGATCATAAAATATGAGCTTCTTTAAGTCGAACTGAAATGCTGTCATCTTCAGTTACAATGGATTCGCAACCAGAAGTCAAGAAGTTATCCATCAGCAATTTTAGGCTACTGATTATTATTAGGTAGCATACATCTGAAGACACAGTTTCTCATGGTCCTGAGTTTTCTTGTTTATTCCGGAACGTTCGCCTCACGACTTTTCTTCAACGCGTTTTGCCCTGCGTTGCTCTGAGTTCTCCCGAGAAATTGTTGGCTGGGTTCCTTTCTACTCATAACAGCTGCAATTCCTAAAATATATGAGAGCACTAAGGTCGTTCCTCAAATATTCCATGGATAGGGCACGGACAACCAACACCACAGCAGGGAAAGTTCGGTAAATTTACTTCGCATGTTCCTCTTGAAAGAAACGTTCATATGGAAAACAAACTCCTTGTTGGAATTATTCTGTTTTCTGCCCACTTCTCTCTTCTTATTTCTCGTTGCAGGAAAACGCCTCGGTTCTGAATGTTGGCATGGCTTCATTTAAAATAAATCCTTAAAATAGGGGATCTGTGCTGAAACTACCCGCCATTGGCTGAAGCTTTATTACATTCACAACGGCTAACTGCAACTTGCAGAAACGAATAATGGTCTTCGGACTGCAACACAATAATTTTCAAAACCTGAGATTCATTTATCATGAAGTGGTATACTTGTTAATCACAAGGTTGTCAGGACCCAAAAATGACACTAAAGGTGTTTTGGACGTCCACTTGATGCACCCAAACGGACCTAAAACATTTCGATGTTACAGTTAAAAACTACAGACATTCGGCTTGTAGTCATAATATTCGGAAGGATTGTCATCCTTTAATGCCGACCGTGGTGACGGTACATGAAATTCATGGTTCTTAACTCGATAACGTACATTGCATAGCAAGCAACGTGCATATTCATTCCTGGAGTTTTGGTCATTATTCTCCAGAAAAATGTACGAGGCGTTATACTGGGAGTATTGGCTTCAAGTTTTGTTATTATCCAGGCAGTTCTAGTAATGGTTGGTTACAAACCCTGTTTTTCTTGGTTAATGCGAGGGAGATTCCTTCACTTGTCTACCTAGTCGATTTGCATATGCTTGTTCTGCTGGTATACGTCATTTTAAAAGCACACATGGCTTTAATCTTGTAGTAACTGAATTAGTGAGGATTAAAATTGCCTGTCTCAAAGAAGCACGCAATACCTATAAAAACGGCGTGTCAGTATATTCTGGGACAAACGTTATTCAGTGTAACGAACATAATGGTCCCTGGGGATGGCACTCACTGTTACTTTGGCCGTATAAGTCAGCTTCGTTCAAATAAAGCTCGATTTGCTCTTAGCCAACCCAAAATAGCCATGTTCAATGTGGTTTTTGATACTTGGTCGAAATCATATATGTTCTTTCAGTAAAAGATTTTAGTGTTCGTAGAGTAATGGGAGAAACTGAATTCTCAGGGACTCATGACTAACACTATTCATCTTTGGAAGTTGTTTGATTTTTGTTGCTTTCCCTATACATGAGGCTTTTAGCGGTTTGCAACATTTCTTAACTGATGAATACTTCAGACGAAGGCAAAACGGAAAATATTTATTTCTTCACTGAGGCTATTGGAACAAAATAATGGAAGGTGTTTATTTAGCGACATGGAATAAAGCTGAAGGCTCCTTGTTTTACGTCACATGTACGCTATTAGGCTGTTTGAATCCTTCAGCTCCGTCACCATCTTACTACAGCATAACATCAGAGGCCATTACACTTGCACGTATGGTTATCATGAGTAAGTCAGCTACACGGTTTCTGTAGAACGTTTGTGGGAACAGGGTTTCCGACTCAAAAGTTCATTGACTTCATTCATCTTCGGTCATTTCACCAGACTCAAATCAGAAATGAATTTCACTTGGCTTCAAATGAACCAAGCAACTATTTTTCTAAATATGAGCCCATATATAAATCTTAGGAAGGATGGAAGGCAGCGTATTTCAGACTCATTTCAAATGGTTCCTTTTGCGGTCTTCAAAATTTCATGTAGCTGCTTTGATTTGGCTCGCATAGCACTTGTCGGGAAAGTCTTTCTGGAGCACTCTTTCACCATCTTTGCAGTAACCACTATACCTAAAAGTAGAGCGCTGAGTCATAGATAATAGTTTGGCACTGGATTTACAGCCGGATAAAAGAATCTATTTACAGTCCTTTGATTTTCTTCCGGGCTTCATTCGCTTCTAGCCACAACGTGACTCAAAGTGCAAGCTGCAGTCATACTTCTTCCTCATCATGACTCAGAGCCATAACTACTTCACTTTGACTTGTTAGCACCATTCTTATTGGGCAAACCCACCTACTTTTCATTCCAGACGCCAAGTACGGTCAATAGTTTCCATATGAATAGGCCGTATAAAAATAATCAAACGACAGACAGCGTCTCAGCGAGTGTAGAAGTGGGTGAAATATCCCTTCAGAAAACAGAAAACATTCATTTTTCATGCTGGAAACGATAACCCGCGACAAGCAAGGGATAAATTTTGGCTGCACCTATTTAAAGTCCAACCAGTTCTTCGATTCCACCGCAAAAATATGTTTTTTATCTGACAAAGCCCATTTTGACTCCTCTGAAACGTGTAACGCCATTGTTCACGTGTTTGGTCAATCTTTTTGATTTGACTCACCAAATTTCGTAGAGCCGAGTCGGGTTTTGCGGGGGCTGTGGGAGAACGCTGAACTGAAGAGCCCGACTGTCCTTGAAATGACCAGTCAGACGCGAGTATGTTATTCCCCGTCGTTTCAACATCTCATACTTTGTATTCATTTTTGGAGCTACTACTAACACTCTGATCACGTCACGCAAGACGTGATCATGGTATAACAGCAGTCACCGGATTAGCGAAAACTGCTTCGCTTAATATGATGGCTTCCAATATTAAGGTACCGAGTAATCGAGGAGTTTTACAATCTTTCAACATCCTCCTACTGAATTTTAAGTGTTGTCACTTATTTTCAGTCTGTCCAGCAGCAGTAACTAAGTCAAACTATGAATTAAGCATACACGAACAAAACCCTATCAATAACTTCAATAATAAGACAGGTACTTCAGAATTCAATGAATCTTCCCACCCTTGTTTCTGTCAAGTTAATATTTAGAGACTGAGAATTGGACGGCTTTACCTAACCGCGTTACACAAACTTGACGTTATGTCAGTCGATCAGAACGGAACGGAGTTGTCTTTCGGTGTGATTAAGGTTTGTTTGGCACTTTCTCATTGTCTGGGTATCAGGATATTTTAGGCGACCCATCTGGGTTCTCATTGGCGAAGCTAAAGGCAACTGCGGAGTCTACTGATTTAAAGTAAAACCCGAAGTTTAGCTAACAGAATTCCAGAGATAAGAAAAGCTTGATCGATGTTGCTTTAAGGGGGCGTATGCTGCGTCTTCTGGCATCTGACTTTATGGATGATGTGAAAACATTGTTGAAAATGGGAGTTGCAGCCGCACTTGCGAGTAATTCTAGATTTCAAGCTCACCTAGTTATGCAGATTTGTGCTCTGCACCCACTCCTTTTCTCCTTTTTTCTGATGTTTTTAACACTAAGCCAATATCAGTTTGTGAAGAAATGTTTGGATTTATGGAAGAAACTATTATCACGCTCAAGGATGTAAGTTGGAGCTTATCTCAGTCTTCACTCCTTGCTTCTTTAGGTACCCTTGTTTGGCTCTGGAAGAAACACATTACTTAGAATGTGCAATGGTTCGTTCGATCAATTTCCATAGAAATATATCTATTCAATGTAGATTTACTTCGGCGTCTATCGAAGTCACAAAATACTGTGTTTTGTGGCCAGATCCAACTTTTTCTAACTCGTTTGTTTCCGTTAGATGAAAAGTCTGGTCTTAATTTTATGAGCAACTTTAATTCAGAAAAGGATATTTTGTATAATAAGAATCCAGATCCCAATGTTTTCAAACACCAATTTTCTCACGAACATACGTATGATGAATTAGAAGAAGGTGAAATGACTGATTCAGCGGCTCCCTTGGAAGTAGATGCTGGTCTATACGTCAAGTTTTGGTCACTCCAAGAGTTCTTTAGGTCACCGGTATTGTGCTACGAAAAATCCAAGTGGCTCAGATTTACAAGCAGTACGGATACCGTGCTAGATGTATTTTCAAGCATTAAACTGATGGCTACGGAAGAGTGCGACGTTTGTCCGCATAGCAGCAGCAGGAAATTTTCAAAGTACCTTACAAGTGAAAAGGTAAGCTTTTAATGCATGTGCATATGCGAAACGCCCTAAAAGTAATCACGAAAAGGACCAGTAGGTCGGGGATTCGGTTGTTTTCAGTTTGGAACAATGTCACGAGCGATTTTTGAGTAACTTAGAATAAAAAAGTAATACCACCCGTAAACTTCTCGCTTGGTGTCCTTGGGTTATCAATCTTGTCACTGAGTTGACAAATACTTAGAGTATTATCATTCGAATACACATTCGCCAAGATGAATAATTTTTAGAATGATTGTTATGCCCAACCTTTTCTTTCTTCCAGGGAAAATGAACAGTATCAGCTAGGGGTGCTAGTAATCTTTAGGAAGCATCTTGATGATGTCACGTAACGTTACCATCGAATATCGTTATTTTGGTTATCAAGGTACAGAATTGTATTAGCTGCTTTTGTTTTTCATCTTCATGCAGCCTGTCTTTCAAATATAACAGCATCTCACGTGACGAGGACTTCAAGTAGTTTAGGTTCAGATGAGTCATTGCAATAGGTCAGCCTAATCCCTACAACGACTTGTCAGGAGCAGTCAAGCAATGTAAGTTGGAAAAGGATTGCTTAAGATGATTTAAGTTGGAAGTCGAATTGTCTAGAGTATGCATCTTTGTCTGCTACTATATGATTTTCTATAGGATAAACTGTAACGTGTCATATTTCTCCCTTTCTTACACTGTTTATTATATGAGCTGAATTAATCTACCCTATTATCAAATATTTACTGGATTGTAGCTGACATCACTGTTTTCACCGCTTAAGCACTAGGATGGTTGGACAGCCCACTAATCACCCATTCCTTCTATAATTTAGAATTGATTTTACCCACTGAACCGAACATTATACCATTCGTATGATCTAGTGGCTCTTGTTCCAGCGAAACAAGATTTAATAGGAGACAAAAAGCAGCTAACTAAAGTTAAGTTACTTGAATAGGTCTGTTTAAAGTGACAACAAATTTTGACCCACTGGTTTGCTACAACAGGTTTCCTAAGCATGAACTTCTATGGAGTTCACCTTTTTGAACTAGTGGCCAACAAGTTCTAACCTGCCGCTAATAGATTGTATTTCTAGCCCCATCATTGTCGTTCCGTAGACTTCAATCTCTGCACAGAGCATAGTTCACATAAGGTACTATTACTAAGCGTGCATACCTCAGTTATTGTCCTAACCAGCACATCACTATCAATTTCGAAATATTGACAAATGCATGCTACTGTATCGTAAACAACCAGATAGCTTTTGTTTATTGTGTGATTTTTGTCTGACCAGTTATCTACGACCCTTGTTATACTTTCCTGGTTTACTGGTTCAACTTTCAAGTAATAGCTTCTTTGGGTTCACATGCTACACGTATTTTGTCATGTGTAACAGGATGGTATCATAACCCATCAAAGTGTGCTTCAGGAGCTTAATATACCTATCTGTACGAAGCTAAGTTGCATCACTACTATTAAAGTGGTGTTATTTTTGTTTCTACTTACGTTAATCATCTCGGAACTTGATAGAAATGTATGAGCTCCACTTGCTACACCTCACGAAAGCAGGTAAAGAAAAATTAAACAAAATGAGGTGGAGGCAGCTTCAGTAGATAACTAAAGCTAGTCGTTGAGAAAAATAGCGTATAAAAGACAGCGGTTAGCTAAGGGCTAAATTGATTAGTGTTCCACCTGAAAACTGGCAGGTAGAAGTGGCAGAACAATTTGAAGAACATTTCATCTGGTCTCCAGCTGCTCTTTATTTTCCCAGTATGGAGTCGTAACGTAGATAGGATTGTGGTATATGGATTCCAAACATTTGAGAAGTAAAAAAAAAGGTGTAAGTAATTTGAAAGGAGGAAAGACAAGTAACCTTGAAATGCTACCAACCCAGGGATTCAAAAAATTTTGTCCAGATCTTTTGGTTAGATTGACCGAGTTGTTAACTGAAGTCTGGGAGTCAAAGTTGGTCCTCTTTGACTAGTCTCAATCCTTTGTCGTACCAGTCTTCAGAAAAGAAAAGTAATCGTCTTATCCAAACCGCAAATGAATTCGATTAACTAACCTAGTGTTTCAGATTGAGGTTATGTGTCTCAACTTGTATTATTGCGCAGTAATGTTGGGTCCAACTTGTTAATGCCCATCTCTTTGTTTTCCTGATTAGACTTTATTTAATAGCTGTTCAAGTGTGACGATTAATACACTTTACTAAGAGAGTGCAATTTAACAGCTTATGGTATAACTACTTTAAATCGTTCATATCGATGTGGATGAATGATGATATTGGATTTTGTAACTTTTTTGTAGCATTTTAAAGAAACCAAAAACGTAGATGATACCATCCTCAATCATGTTTTCCCACTGTCGTTAAATTGATAAGCATTCTACTGGTTTTAAAACGTGAGATGCTTAGTTATTATCATGAATAAATTATACGTTGTCTTCTACATAGCATTTTTGATGAATTCATTTGAGGTGAATCTCAATTATCTTCATATTTTAGCTGTTGGATTTACAACTGATGGATCCAAGTTTCCGACGATATATACTTGTTCAGCTGTTAATCCTTTTCCAGTATTTGACAACTACAGTTAAATTTAAAACGTAAGTTGCGTCATTGTACCCTTTCACAATGTTTTCTTATGTGCCTGGTGGTTACTTTTCTCATATGGAGTGTTTTTGATTTCATATGCCTTAATTTTCACGTTTGTAATAGTACTTTGAGTTTCATCTCGACGGCTTGTAGGGGATTTACAACCTGTTTACATTTGTGTATGCTTTGGGTTGGTGTATGTATGTCCATTTTATGGTTGTTTGCTAAGCAGTAGAAAGTGACTGTGCGACTAACTGTAGAAATAATGGATTCATCATGTCAAACGATAGCCGTGTAAGGTAAATGTAGGGTGCAGAATGTTATTCCCTTTCAAAATATCAATCGATGGTGACCCTTAAAACTTCACTCGTAACTTTCAGATGCTTTCATCTAAGAAATATCTTGCCTTCTTGATTTTGTAATGGAATTTCTTATATAGAGACTAATTTTCAAGAAATGTAAAGCACTGGCATTATTTAAATGAAGCTGGAGTAGTTGAAAAGCTGTTCTTATCAAAACAATTAAGTTCGATACTCTTAGATTTGATCATTTTTCTTAAAGATGATACTTTATCAAAGTGATGAGTGACTCGATTGTGATATAGTTTCCTAGAGATGTTAAAATTCAGTTTTACGATTGCTTTTGCAATTTTTAATTGTTGAGCACGTGTATTTATAACTTAAATCCACTAGCTTTACAGTTATCTTGTCTCCCACTTGATCCAACTAACTATCTGACAGTCAATTTTCATCTCCAATAATTTGTTAAAATGAAAAGAAATAAAATGCCCTCCACTGCTTGACGAACTTGAGCATTGTCGTTATATATATCAGCTTACAAAGTGAAAATTTCTTTCATTTTTAACAGATCGCACATCAGTCATGCGCCGTTTTTAAGATGATATTAATAATTTTGCACAGCAAGAACAACAAACATTGTGGAATGAATCTAATTCTGTTTATGCTCTAAATCTTCCGCATATGCACTTAGTTTAAAATTGTGTACAATAAGCTGTCGGTGTTCAGTTTAAATCATTTGGTAAAATCAACTCTAAATATATCTTTCACATCTAGACTATATATATATATATATATATATATATATATATATATATATATATATATACATATATATATATATATATATATATATGATGTAAAAAGTCAGACTATAAAGGCGATCAGTAAACACAATGAAAATAATACATCGTAGTATTAGTACAGTAACATGATTATACCTCACGGTGGTAGGAATCGGGATAAAAGGGCTGAGCAACAAAGGATGGCGCGCAAAGTGTATGAATTTATGGTAGAGAAATGGAAAGAATATACTATAATTAAAATTTTATGGATTAAAGTAAGTCATAAATGACGAGAATATGAATAACGTTTGAGAATAATATGTAAAACAGTTGGATGAAAAAATAAAATAGTAAGTAAAGGTGTAGGAAAAAACAATTCACCATGGCAATGCAAAGTGAAACACAAACTCCTTTTGTACAAATAAGTTTGGTTTCGGTCGATGGATTACTGCTGCGTCTATTTAACGTAGCAGTCTACTATTTCTTTGTCTACTGATTACCTTGAAATCTATATTTGAGTCGACGGCATGACCTGTGTCGAGGATGTGTTAACCGATGACACTGCTTGATTGCCTTTCCACTTCCCAATCACAGGATTTTCAGTAAATGTTCACAGATTAGTTTATTAAGGATCCTCTGCGTTCTTCTGATGTTAATATTACTGCGAGTACAGGTATACGATAAATACAACTGGAGGCAACGTGAGGAGGTCTCAGATTTAAATTGTTTTCTCTGATCTTGTTTTTTGTGCTATAAACGACTGTCAATTTCGCAGTTTGAATAAGGCAGTGCAGTGTATGCATTCAGTCTGTGATTATTTTGTGAATATGTTCTTTTTTGGCGCTATTGTATACTTCAATTTCTTTTATTTTGGTTTAAAGTATTTATTGATGAGCTTTATGGGATGTCCATTGTCTAACAAAGTTTCTCTAATATTTTCCAATTGATTTTCGATGTCTACCTTGTAACGTAGTCTGATTGCCCCAAAAGATAAAGTCTTGAATAGACTTCGTTTATACGCTATTGAATGGCAAATATTGGCCGATCCAAGTAGGCTTATGTAGTATCAAACCATCTTTATTCCTTTCACTACTCAAGTCCAAGAAATTCCATCTAAAGTTTCATGTTCACATACCAATTTCACGTCTGAACGAACTGAATTAAAAGATCTGAGTATGCTCTTTGCGTGGATTTCACTCTCATATATGGTGAAAATATCATCTGCGCATCTGAGATACAGTTTTGTTTGTTTAATGGCATCACTTAGTTTGGTATTATCTAAGTGGGCTAGGAATATGTCTGCAAATATGTGACCAAGAGGACTACCCACGGTCACACCTGTAATACCAACCATTAAGCTGGAGTCGCACATTTCCAGTGCCTAAAGTCAATAAATCTTTCAATCTGTTAGATGGTAAGTCAATCGTGTTGACATGACTACACATGATATCAATCGTTCCTTTAAGTGGCATGTGTATGAATAATGGTTCAATATCAAAGGAAACCACGTGATCTTTGCTCATATCGTTATCATCAATCCTACTAGCAAATTCAAACCTATCCTTCAAAGTAAAGACAGCTAGCTATTTCCTGATAGGCTCAACTAACTGTGAAAGCCATCGCACGAGTTCGCAGTATGGGAGTTCATCATAGCCAAGGTATTCCCTTTTCGTGTATCTTTGGAAGACCATACATTCTTGGCCAATGGTCACTTCGGGTCGCAACGTCTCACAGAGCTTTTCATCGATTAAACTCTGCTTCAGCGACTGGTTAAGGACTTAATTTGTCTTCTTTTCAGTCTGTAATATCACGTCTTTATTACTCTTCAGGGGGAAGTGTTTCTTATCACTCAGTTGGCTGAGCATTTTTGAAAGCTAATCTTGTTTAACACAATCATACCGGAGCCTTTATCAGGTATTGGTAAGACAATTCATTCATTCGTTGTCGGTTCACTAGTAGCTTTGTGATACGTTTTGGGTAAAAAATTCTTATGAGCTTTTGGACCGATGGTGTATTGATTAGCTGAAACAACAAATCTAGCTTTCAGCCACTTCTGTTTGTCGTATGATGAGGGCTTCAAATTCAACAGTTAGTTGTACAAGTTTTCAAACTGACATTCGAAACCATTTGGGTTTAGTTTAATTGTAAGAAACATGATATTCAAAGCCTAAGGACAATGCCTCTACTTCAAGTTTTGACAATTGAATATCAGAACGATTAATAGCGTACTTTTCTGGTTTTTTTGGAAAATATCGTTAGATAGGTTCTCGTTAGGTTACTTATTACTTGTATTGGATGATTAGGTCATGAAATTTGTCATTCATCTGGGTTCCCATATATGTGTGTTGGTCTCTAGATGTGAAATATGTATTTTAGTTGAAGACTCTCGGTGATATGGCTGAGAACCGATGTCAGTGATGCAGATGTATACGTACATTATCCTCATCTTAACGATGCTATACCGAATCTCACCATTTTCTCATCTTTCCTTCCTCTCTTTTCGTACTTTATATTTCTTTTGACTAAATTTTCTTATCTTCACCTTGCGCCTCACTGCCTTTTTACTTGATGTACTGATATGAGGTGTGGTAACTCGGACCGGTACTCAGTAATGCCTGGTCTTTTGTTGATATTGATGATGATGAAAGATGTATTTGGAATTGATTTTACCATTGAAATATATCAAATGATTTAAGCTGGACACCGACAGCTTATTGTACACAATTTCAAACCAAGTGCATATGTGGAAGATTTAGAGTAAACATTGCAGAATGAATCTAATTAGATTCATTCCACAATGTTGTTCTTGCTGTGCAAAAAATTGTAAAGGGAACTAATTGTATGAAACATTAATATTTGGTAGACCTCTTGGTACTATTCTACGGTTTTACTTCATTAGTGTACCCTTTGACGTTAAGCTTTTAAGGAGAATCATTAGAACGCAGCTATATCGTGATCCGACAAAAGTAGTAAGATGTAGACCATTGGATTTTGACCTAGCGGTTCATTACTGATGTGCTCGTCGTGAGACTTGACAGCCTTGGGTTTGACCTCTGGCAGGGGTCATGAGCGTACACTGCTAAGGAGTCCCGTACTAGGACTAAGCAGCTGTTTAGTGCCCTTAGTCTTTTCGTTAGTTGTCCAATCAATGTCAATGATGAATATTATGTTGAATCTTTACAAAATAATGTGGTTGGTTTTGACTTATGAAGCGACCTCACAGTTTATCGTTTTATTACTAATTCTTGCAAAATATTGTTTGGAAACATATTTGTTTCTCCAGAATTTAAATCAACCTAATGATTTGGTAATTTAACTCATATGGAGTGCAGCTGATTGCATGCACGTGGTAAACGAAGTTTAATTACGCAATTCAAAAGCAGTTGTTTGCAATAACGTTTGTGTCAAAACTGTTTGGGATGTGACAAAAAACGATGTCTACTTCCATAAATTTGTATAATGAGATAATCTATGAGTATCTTAACCTTATCTTACGTATTGCAGTCCAACAGTCTGAGGACTTGACCTCCATCAACTTCCTTAGAACTGCCACTTCATTGTTTTAATTGATTAGCTGATTAGATTTGTTGCGTGCATATTCATCAACAAACTGTCAACAAAACGGTTGGGAGTTTTCATTTTATTCTCTACGATATGTCACATATTTTGCTGATGTTATATATATATATATATATATATATATATATATATATATATATATATATATATATATATATATATATATATATATATATATAGTTAGGGAAACAGTGTTTCATTGTTACATACGACAATGCAATGCCGTGTTTGGAGACGGGTTATGTAATTTTATGTGGATTTTAATACTGACCTCTGCTCAACATGATGAATATGCAGTTGAAATAACGAGTAGGCTACAGGGATATTAATGAGGGTAAATTAGTTGTTGAATTTGCAAGGATGCATCAAATGGGATTACTACTAGGTCAGTTACCGGTAAGTTGGATGAACGATTCAGTTAAACATTATAGTAGGGTAGAGGAATTTTAAGCGTGACTGTGGCAATACATGACCTAACCTGTAACTTAAGTCACATGGTGAATATAACATTCCCGGGTGAAGTTTCGAGGATTTTATTATTCTGTGATTGCGCATGATATTGCTGAAAGTCACTGCTTATGAAGTACTTGCGCTTGTTGTAGGTGAACATCTTTTCGCATTCTTATTTATTTTATGTATTCTGATATTTTCCAGTTAAAAAAATTATATTCCAATATTCGATTGATTTCCTTCCTCTATGCTAATAAGAAATATAAAAGCTCTAATCGATATATTACTTTGCCGTGTTCTATGCTGATGTAGTTTAATTTCTTGTTTCCTCGTCCTTGAAAATATTGTATTAGGAGAGTTAGTCTAACTTACATTATTCTCATTATTATTATTATTATTATTATTATTATTATTATTATTATTATTATTATTATTATTATTATTATCATCATCATCATCATCATCATCATCATCATCATTGTTATTACGGTTTGTCTTTTTCTATGCAACCAGACTCAGGATTATTTTCTGGTAGCTGTGTTATTAATACATTTCGTATATTACTCTTCTAATGGTATATCTCTTTAGAACAAACTTCGTACAACAGAGGTGTCCAAAAATGGGCCCTACATTTCTTTGATGTAAATATTTCGTTTCCACTGGCTTACATCATACTTCCGGGTTAGGATTATACATGGTGTGGGTTAGTGGCGTTTGTTTTCATTCATATATGTCCACCCTTCTTTGATTTCCAGGCTAAGTAGAAACTGGATTCTATTAACTTGAGTTATGCATCGACTAAACCGCTGCGAACGCTTCTCTTACTTTCAGTGTTGCAGTGTCTTATCGGATTGAAAATACGTGTCCAATTTTAGTAATCAACTGTGTTATTGTTCTTGAATAGATTTCAGGTCTAGTCTCGTATCAGAAAGATGCACACTGTTAGTCAGTCCCAGATAAGGAAGAAATCGCTTCTTATTTTACTGCCTTTTTTAATGATAACACTTAAGCTAGGGATAAACTGTATTCAGAGCGAAAACTTGTCTATGTCACAGTATTTGTTTCGTTTGTTGATGTGGGAGGAAGTTTGAAGTAATCTGGACTCTATAGTCTTTGAACTAACTTCCTTTACACATTTGATGAAGCATCTCATTGGATTTCGCATTACCTTTCAGCTATAGAGTTTCTTGATCGGATCATGTCTAAAAGTATGCATATCTATGTGGTTAGACTTGTGTGGAACTGTTTATTGCCGTCTCTTCTCAGAGTTGATCATCATCGCTCTCGTCTACAAGGTTTAATTATGATGTCGACAGTTTCTTTTAGCTTACATTATAGCATTCAACAGTTGACATTATTACACTAAAATGGATCTCCTGATTGCTATTGCTAAGTAGTCATGTTATTGTGGTTTATTGATTCATTACGTATCATCATTTTCCTGTTTCCTCTTAGAATGGATCAAGTGCTCAGTGAAGATCAACAGGCGTGGGTTAACCAAAGACAAGAAGTAGTGTTACGACTCCTGTCTTCCAATAGTTCAAATACGTCTTCGGGTGGTACATTTGTATCTACAGTTGAACACATTCTCGAACGTGAAAGCCATTGGAATAGATGGAAGAATGACGGGTGCCCTTCTTTCATACGGAGTACTGAGAAATCTCGATTGTCTTCTAGGTAAATCTTTTGGGATGGTTATTGTTTTTTATGTTGATATGACTTATACTAATTTCATGTTTATGCTTGTAGGAAAAGACATATTAATCCTTTGATTACCCGTGCTGGTCAGAAAGTGTATCGTTTTGGTAATCGGGAACTAGATAAACTATGGAATGTGTGTCCAGACAATCTAGCTGCATGTCGAGATCAGCGTCGTGTTTTTAATCCAGATCTTCATTCCTACTTTCGAGAAGCTATGATGGAAATGGACCCAGCTGAAAAGGTCGAGGAGGAATACAAGTAATTTTTCTTACAATACAAGTTTTAATATCATTTAACAGTTTAAATATCCTACAAACAAGCAAAATAGCGGTAACACCTGGGACTGCAACATAGTTCATCCAAATTTTTACATTTTACAGACGACACAAAAAAGAAACGTTAGCACAATCACAGCAAAAATATAAATAGTAATGATGGTTATAACCATATCCTAATAAAAAGACAACAACAAAAGATTAAAGAAAACGGTATAAAAATGTAGAATTAGGCACGCAACCTGAATTGTCCAGTTACTACTGGTTTCGATTGTCGACAACTTGAACCACAGAGGGCATTTTATTTGACTTCTGTAACTGGGACTTTATGTTCTAGTTTATCAACTTAGTTTACAAAGCTTCAAAAATTTAAGGGGAGAGGATAATAAGAATAAGAAAACTTATGAGTAAAAATAGGTTGATATTATTTTTGTTAAGTGTTGGAGATATTCCACCAATTGCCACCATTCAGATTGCACTGAAATGGTGAGTCATCCAGATTAGCGACCATTTTGCAAACCTTATCAATAAGGTTCAGTCAGTTTTTCGGACAACATTACTCACGTCTCAGTCAGCAAACAGTATTTCATATAGTTTGTAGTTTCTCAGACAATTTGTTGTTTGTATCTACATCACTGGAATGAATTTTAAACAGTATCAAGTAGTGTTCTCAGTAGGATAGTCTTGACTGTTTCAAAGCTGTCAGTCTATCCACATACATGGTTCAGACTAGTCGAGAAAAATAAATCGGACTAGTAATCCCCGGCTATATGAGTTAATGTTCTGTTCCACTCATTGTGAATTATCTTTCATTTCAACATTTCAGCTGACATATTCGAAAGTCGAATCTACTATTAAGGTAACTTAAGTCGAGGTCAGTCAGACGGTTATCAGCAAAATATTGATCATAATAAAGATCGTGTTATATCGAATTTTATGGATGGTCGGTTAGATTATTATCATTTATTCTCATACGCAAAGATCCAAACAGTTATTAAGCTAGTAAGGATTAAGATAAATATCTAAGCGAGTAGGCGTAAGTATATCAGCTTGTCAGACGTTGAGTAATGTTCGGTTACAATGGTAGACAGAGACTGATGGAATCCAGTGGTTCAGAAACTATTGTTACTAGTGGATCAAACCAAGCATGTTAAATATTGTCTTCAGGAAAGAGGTCATTTTTATGTGGACCTCATGGTAATTGAACTTAATATGCAGCCAGTAAATGCATTGTAATAAACCTGATCACTCACTGCTTGGGTCTATTCTTATCTTGTGCAACTGTTGAGTAAAACATTCGTACTAAAAAAGGAAGGTTTGTGCAGTGGGGGTCTATGTCTGTTGTCTGAGATGATCGCACTGTACCTCTTTTTCTGCGTATGTCAAGAAGAACTGTCATACACACTCGTTATTTAAGTCATTTAAGTTGTTTATAGATTGTGTGATATCTCTGGGCGCTTTACAGCAGACTTACCTCTCTGTTTTCTTTATTTTCAGTACAATTCTTTTCATTTCATTAAAGGGACTATGCTTGTTTGTCTGACAGTATAATTGTTTAAGATACTTGAACTGTGTATATGGGCAATCATATTTGTATGCACTTTTTTAGATCGATTAATAAAGATGAGTGGAGTTGGCGCGCTCTTCGTTTTCTTGCCAGAAAATGTCCACACTTTTATATCAATTGGAACCCTCCTGGACGGCCCGTGAAGGATTACTTATCCGTCATCCTGACTGAGAAAATTCAGTCTGAAGTTAGTTCCTAGCTAAATAATTTTTCGTCTAGAGAATTCGGTTTTCTTCCCTCATTTAATCTTTATATTTGCTATAGCACTCTGCTTCCAAGCAATATGTTTTAGTTCGAACTGTGTTACACTTAATTCGGTCTGTACATCCGGGTAGTATCGTAAGCCTTCACTTAGTCAACAGGACTCATAGTATAATAAATAAAATCTCTATCACACAGGTGAGTTGCACTTTTTATTAGTTTTCAGTGTTTAGTCACGTAACTAGGTTGGGTTGTAGGCTTGTTTTTATTGAGTTCCATCTTCACTTGGGGGATAGAAAACATGACATTGTTTGCACTCTTCACTGGCTTATCAGTCTGTTTGATGAGTTCTTACAAAGTTAGTGTTGGCCAAAATATATAATATGATTTTATGTACTGCGGCCTGCTTGAACTTTGAACTACCTCATTTTACCACGGAATATGTTACATCAAGTTTCTCCCTTCCACGTTGCTTTGATCATCCAGTTATATCTTCTAACTGTATTGCATACTCTCACGCATTTTTAAAATCGTTACAACCTACCGCTCCACAAGCCGATAGGTAAATTAAAAAAAGCACCATGGTGGATTGCAAAGGGCTCTCAAACGTATGACATTGATCAAATGACTATTCTGAAAATACTTAACATCCACCGCAGGTATTTACCGAACAAAATTGATTACCTTCAGTCACTTGTCCGCAAATGTTTATCGGAATGAGGGTGTAATAATACTGCAGGAAATATGGCTTCATAACCTGTATGATGTTGATTTATTTTGTCGAAATGGTTTCAAGTTATTTTGACAAAATCGATGCTTTTCCAAGAAGTGTGGTGGGGGTGTAGCAGTATTTTTCAATGCAAATTGATCCACCTTCAATTATGTGTTCTTTAGCTTCTCTAATGACGAAAAATAGTGCATTACCATCAAATGTCATCCTAAACATTTGCGTATATACAAATATATATACATAAAAAGCACCTATGTCACACCTAATTGCAGTTTCTCAGATTTATCAATTGACGAATCCACTGAATTTGCTGCTCCGATTCTGGGTAACTTTATCTATAGTCTATGAAGATTTTAGTTCATGTGCCTGCAGTTTCCTTGTATCATTGGGTTATGAGAATATGGTTAACTTTTCCACTCGTCGTGACAATACACTAGATTTAGTTATCATTTGAATATCTGAGATAGCCATAGTTTGACAGACTAGTATTTATACTGGGTGATGATTGAAGGTGAAATGAAAATTTGGACCGCGGCCGGATTCGAGCCTGTGACCACCGGGTTTCCGGCCCGTTGCTTTACCTACTGAGCTACTACTGGCTAGGTTTTTATTTCACTTCAATCACCAAGGGTTTTGCCCGACTACCATGTGAATTTGTGACGCGTTACTACCGCTTGATCGTATTCACACTGGTTGCCTAGTCAGGACTTCTCATCCCAATCGAAATGTAACCGAATTAGACAGGGGGAGCATCATATTGATTATCATTTGACTATTAGAGATAGCCGTAGTTTGGTAGACTATTATTTGTACTGATCACTGGCTCGAATCCGGCCGTGGTCCAAATTTTCATTTCACCTTCATTCATCACCCAGTATAAATACTAGATTTAGTGTCTGTGAATCACTCTAGTATGCATAAAGCCCGTAAACAAGCTCCGCTGCTGATTTCTGACCGCTGCATTGTACGTGTCTTGCCTGGCAAGTTACATAAAAATGCTTTTGAACACCTTTCCAAGAAAGTCCGGTAAAAATGTTTGAGAAGCATGCCTAAAGAAACGGGCCGGGATATATTTGTTGTTGGAGTTCTAGACAACACTCACTAGTATCACGAGCTCTTTCAGATTCTCTCTTGACATATGCTGCCTTGCTGAAACAATCTTTATTAGATTTGACAAACTTTTCTCTCCTCATCTCAAGATGCTTTGGAGCAAAAAGGAAAGGCTTTATAAGGTGACAGATCACCCTAGCGTTAAAAGGCTTGGCCACCTAATTAAGTTTGAAATGCACCTTCTAAATACTCTATGCAACCAGAAGTTTCTGTCGTGCAAGAACTCCTCCAGTATATGAAAATTGTTCAAATAGTTTACTGGTAGAAATATAAAAAAAGAAGCTTGCTCAGGTGTTTGCGCCTCAAACCAGTTATTTATACATCAGCAAGCTGATTTCATCTTTCCTGGTGTCCATATTCAGATGGATAGTTGCTTTCCTGGTTGTAATACAAATGATGCATTTGGGTGTCTTAAATCCTTGAATTCATCTCAAAACTTAAGTCCTAATGATGTTTCAAGCATTGTATTGAGAAAATGTGCTGTTGTTTTATGTCATCCTCTTACAGATATCTTCAATGCATTGTTCTCCGAAAATATGTTACCCGCTGCTTGGAGAGAGATCGTACCTGTGCCTTTCATTTGCTGGGTCAGATGCTTAGTTTTGACTCATCGCTATAACTTCCCCTTTTCTAAAGACGATAGACAAATTACTTCTGTTTGTGATTGAATCTTCATTGAAGGTTTTCAGAGATCCAAAACAATTTGCTGACAAGCATAGGAGAAATACTTTAGATGGTATCACTGTGTTGCATCATGATATTGTTACTAGTTTAGACAAAGGTGTTAAGTATGTCAACTGTGCCTTCTTGGATTAAACATTGGCCTTTTACTCTGTTCCTAGACCACTCTTGTTAAAAAAGCTTTCCGTGGCTCAGTATGAGGCATGAGTTACAAAGTGACTGTATTCTTAATTTTCTGAAAGGAAACAGTATATTGTCGATAAAGGGAGGGGCTCCTCATTGTTTATTGAAGCCGGTTTGTCTCAAGGAGCAGTAATTTCTCCGCTTCTTTTCTCATTCTTTTTGCATGAGTTACCTTATTTTATTGATACTAATTTTATTAAGTGCACTGATGACCTGACAGTTTCTGTTCCAGTTAATTCTCACTTAGATTGCTTTGAATTAAATGATTTCTTGTCTGAAAATGACCAGTGGTCTATCTTAAATGGTCTCAAGCTAAACCCTTCTAAATATCAGACTGTTAGTATTAGCCTCAGGCGCAAACAAAACTTGGCTGGACTGCTTAAGTTCCATGACTCCTGTTGCATTGATGGTATTGCTGCAGAAAGTGAATCCATTGTTAACTATGCTGGTTTAAGTCTTTCTTTTGGTCTTTGTTGACCGTTTCATATCTTGTTGCCTTCCAAGAAAATCTTTCCTTTAACTTGTCACAAAATGAAACTCAGACTCTTTGGTATAACTCTACTTTGACAATTTATTAATTCTTGCATTTTACCGACTCTTTTCTATTGTTCCTCTTTTATCTTTTCTGGTCTACTAAATAAGGACTATGTTGTGTTGTATAGGTCTGTGAATGCCTTCAGTAGGGTGTTCTGTGCCTCTGACTCAACTGATTACCACTGTAGTTGACAGACATTTAAATTCCAACAGGCAACTAGCTACATTAATCTAAACTGACACTGAGCATCCGCTTCATTCACAGCTCTCCTCTTTGTATCTCCTGTGGGAGGAGAGGAAGAAATTACCTTAGACTTTAAGCTCGTGCTGCTAAATACAAGAATTCGACTGTGGCTTACCTAGCACGCAGCTTATGTGATGAAAAAAGTGTAAGAACAGAACACATTAATCAACTTTGCAACAATAAGTAATCTGTTTTCATTAATTTAATTAGCAATATAAAATTTTCTCACTACTATTTTTCTACATTGCTTAAATTCTTACGACATTATATATATATATATATATATATATATATATATATATATATATATATATATATATATATATATCACTTAGTATTTCGGGTTAAAAATACTTATCAATTTGTTGCTAGCTGTCTCAATAGAAGCAAAAATGCTTTGCGTTTGTGAATCATGGGTAAAATGTCTATTAGTTCATAGGTTGGATTGGTGTGATGATAATGGTTTACAAAACTCTAATTACTGACTGATTGCATCTGAGCTATAGCATTGATCGGGACCCTAAACAAACGATGACTGAAAAGACTGAAATACTGACCATTCATTAACATAAGTGTAAAACTTGGGCACTGTGGTCGATTGTAATTCTGTTTATTAGAAATATCACACAGTGAAACAGTAGCATTTACTGGATGACGTTTCGGACACAATTTATTGTCCATATTCATATCAGGTAACTCCACAACTTCGAGACAGTCTTTATATATTCCTAGTTTTCTCTCCTTCTCTGTGATGACAAGGGTAGTAAAGTTTTACATATATCTGGGACGGGTGCAGAATCATTTCGATTGCATGTGTTTGGTGTTGATTCGATAAACAAAGATTCGGCTATCAAACTCTCCCTCCACTCAACTAAGTCAGTTTTCAATACTGTCACCCTATCCTACCCTACTGTGTAATTGTGTGTCATCCTATGCAGAGCTATAGCCGAGTTTTTCTCTAGACCGATTGACATGAGTCTGGAGGCATTTCGAAACGGGCTTAAAGATGACAAAGAACTCACACATCGAACTAAGCTGCCGATCGAGGAAATCATACTAGGAGCACGATTGTGCCTAACATCCCCAGTTTTAAGCTTCAAAATAAAATATATCAACAAACTGAAGGTGTTGCTATAGGATCACCAATATCCCCTATCGTCGCAAACATATTTATGAATAGTTGGGAACAGGTGGCCCTTCAAACATTTAGTCCTACTCCAAAGATATGGTTCCGATATGTAGATGATACGTTTACAGTACTGAAATCGGAACACACCAATAGGTTCTTGGCACATATAAATTCAGTAGTAAATGCAGTCTAATTTACCTGTGACTTAGAAAGTGAAGAAGGTGAGCTAGCAATGTTGGATCGCAAGATTAAACGAACACAAGAAGGAATTCTAGAGATAGTGTGTATAGGAAACCCACCCAATTGAATCGCTACTTAGACTTCGAGTCCTCCTACCCCATTTCAGTTAAAGTAGGCCTAGTTAAATGCTTAAGTGATGGATTGAAAAAGCTTACTAGTTGGTCGGAAAGTCTGCAACAAGAAATTAGACACATCAAGAATACCGTACGTCTCAATAATTACCCACCAAAGTTTATGAATGAATTCATAAGAAATCGAAAGGAAAATATTAGCAATGGTAATAGTAGTAGTAACACAGATGTTATTAAAAATAATCCCACTACTAATGGTAATAATGGAGACACGGTTAAGAGAGAATTCAAAGCCTCTGCTGTGTTACCATAGAAGAAAGGCACCTCAGAAGCACTACGAAGAATTCTCAATAAGGCTGGGATTAAAGTGGCATTCAAACCAACAAGCTCACTTGGAGACAAGCCTTGCAAGTTAAAAGATCCTATCGATGCAATTAAGCAAAATAATCTGGTTTACCAGATCCCTTGCAACGACTACGAGGTCATGTATATAGGTCAAAGCAGTCGACCAGGGTCGATTAGAATAACAGAGCACAAAAACTTAGCTAAATCAAGATTAGTAGATCTTAATAAGACAAGAAATCTAGAGAAGAACTTGGCTATAGCTCTGCATAGGATGACACACAATTACACAGTAGGGTAGGATAGGGTGACAGTATTGAAAACTGACTTAGTTGAGTGGAGGGAGAGTTTGATAGCCGAATCTTTGTTTATCGAATCAACACCAAACACATGCAATCGAAATGATTCTGCACCCGTCCCAGATATATGTAAAACTTTACTACCCTTGTCATCACAGAGAAGGAGAGAAAACTAGGAATATATAAAGACTGTCTCGAAGTTGTGGAGTTACCTGATATGAATATGGACAATAAATTGTGTCCGAAACGTCATCCAGTAAATGCTACTGTTACTGACCATTCACTTATCATCATATGGATATTCAATGAAACAAAAAAGTCTAGTTTACTAAACAGACAGTTCAATATGATATAATTACACAGTTGATAGCAAACAATGAAGCTAGGGCTGTCAATCAGCATTTAATATTGCGTATAAGACTGCATATAAGACCTCTAGAGTACGACCACTACAGGTACAGAATATAGATCATTTCATAATAAAAACTAATGTTGACAGTTTTGTTCAGAAAAAAAAATCGAAACTTCATGTGACTGAACCATCCAGCTGAGAGAACATATCACCAAGGTAAACGATATACTATTTCAATATATACCATACGCCTTGAAACTAATGATTTGTCACTAACACAAACAGTTGAGTTTGATGGTTCAGATTAAATATAATTTTTCTTGTTGATCTTTTGTGTTAGGAGGAAAAGAAAAATTCTACTGTCGGTACTTCTGATTGTGAAAACCATCGAGGCTCCGATGGTAGTACAATCGACTCTATACCCAACAAACAACCTAGACTGGACGATTCAACTGAGTCAACAACTCTAGATTCTCCAATAAAATCTTCTGTATTACCACATATTCAATCAGCTCCAAATGAATATCAAACACAAGAAAATAAAAATAAAACTCAAAAGAATAAATCATCAATAATGTGTGGCAGTCCAATGAGAACTCGATATCGTGATACACTAACTGCTGATGTTAGTTTTTTACATTGTCCAACTTCTGGTCATTTTTATTTCCAGTAGAGTGTTTATCCATCGTACATTATTTATTTATGTGATTTGTTGGACTCTGACGACACTGCATAATAACATCCTTACCAATACTTAATTTGTAAAGCAGTCGGTCGATAAGTATCAACATAGAACCTGATATCACTCACTCTGCAACGGTCCAAGTTGCCGTACAGTGCATCAAAAAACAAGGCAACCGTCGGTAATAAATACCAACTCTTGGTGTTCGTTTCTTTGATTAACTCAAAGAGGAAGACGGGATTATTGATGTGCTGTGTTAATCAGAAGTATCTACACATCTGTATTGAGGGATATCTAAATAGCCTGTAAATATGTCCAGTATCAGAAGTATAGGATAGTCATTTTTACTTGAAATTTTACATGCACATGTCTTGATTAATTGTTCAACTTTAATTTACTCTCTGATTGTGAGTCACTTTATTTGTACAGGTAGCCGTGTTTTAAATGTTGACTAAAAAAATAAATATAAACCACAGTGATGAAGTTATTCTTCACTAGTGAATATCGCTCGTGCAAAGAGATTTTTTTCCAGCAGAAACATTCAATCACTGTCGAAACCAAATGCATATGATGTACTAGCGCTGGTATTGGAAGTTGTTTTCTTGAAGGAAGTGGAGATATGACCCACTGGCTTGAGATTTAACTCCCAACTATTAGGTAACGAGTCACCATTCAACTTCCTTTACTTCAATCTGGATAGTCGGGTTGTATACTAACATTTGGAAATATGTAGAGGGCAAGAACACTGCACACTGGGATACTGAAAGGGAGAATGTTTGCTCATGTAACATCGTAAAATTTAATATTTTTATCAATATCGATTGTAGTTTTCTAATAAACAATTTCTACAGCTCCGTTGGACTCCCCTGCAGTATAAATCCTACACAAATAGGTGAAGCACATTGTCTACTGCACTATCCTAAAGATAGTTGTTGAATTGCACATAAACGTGTTTCTAATAAATCCATTGTTAGTTAAATAAAATGAAGTATCCTTTAAATCGGTTTAGTCTTCTGGGATAATTTCAACACCGTTCGCTACTGGTCAATCTTCATAAAGAGCATATTTTGTCTTTTGAAACTCTAGACTTGATTCTAACACCTGATCTTTCTACGTTAGTAGGTGTCTGACAAACCTCTACCCATTCTTCACTACAACGGAGATTGCTGAAAACGGGAGTAACTTTGGGAGAAAGGCGTTGTTTTATTGACTTATTTTCAGGCAAGTATTCCTTAAGCTGGTCAACTGTAAATAGTTTGCAGGATTACTGTCAAGTCTAAAGGTAGTTCCTACCAATATTTCCTGTTATTGAATTAATACTGTCTTTGCTAAGGAAACATTCTAGGTTCAAACATCGAAATAGTCCCATTATAAAAAAGACAACCCAACGAACAAAACTTTCTTTCCGACGAATCATTTTCAGTGGCTATACATTCGTATTTATAGTTACAACAAAAGTATGTGTCCACCAATGCCTAGTTAGTGGATACGACGATATCAAAAACTATCAATAGAGTTAAAAGGTGATTATAGCTAGAAGGTCAACATAGAGTCATCAACAATTGCGTATTACTCAACTTTCCACCGAAGTCTTAAGTTGGCACCCACTTCACTTCCGACTAGCTGACCCCACAAGTCACGACTTTTCATTAGGACTACGGGACATCCATTTCAAAGCATGCCAAATGAGCACTTTACAGTAATCTAGTTTGATGTTTATGAGATATTATTTATTTCAAGGTAGTTTTCATTACGAGGTGATGAAGGTGTCCAACCAACGACAGCATGAACAACAAGCACCAATCACCATTAACGGGAGAAACCTAAAGGAAGTAGTCTCTTTCACCTACCTGTCTGGGCAGGATCGTTTCAACTACAGGCGGCACAGATGAGGATGTCAAAACCAGGATCGGAAAAGCAAGACAGGCTTTCTTTAATCTGAAACCAGTGTGGAGATCTACTGCACTCAGCACAAAGCGTGAACAAGATCCGGATTTTTAACACCAATGTCAAGTCAGTGCTTCTATATGCTTCAGAGACTTGGCGCGTTACGAAAAGCATTTCCAACAATCTACAGATATTCATCAACAGCTGCCTACGCTCGTTACTGAGGCTCAGGTGACCAGAAAGAATAAGCAACAAGGAAGTCTGGGAATGAACCAAGGAAGCAAGAACCTATCAGCCAACAAATACGCAGAAGAAGGAAGTGGAGATGGATTGGGCATGCACTGAGAAGACCATTTGGGGACGTCACGCGCCAGGCACTCGAGTGGAACCCAGATGGGAAACGGCGAGTTGGGCGTCTGAGCGAGGATGACATGGAGGAGATCGTGTGAGGAAGAAATGCGAGCTAGTGGGCAATCGTGGAGCCAGGTTGAAAAGATTGCGGAGAACAGAGTGGAATGGAGGCGTGCTACTGAAGCCCTATGTCCCACTAGGAACCCAAGGGAAAAATAACAAATAAATTCATTACGAACTGACATAATTGGGAGAACCATTGAAAACATGGGAGCACTGTACAGCTTTCATACGAATAACTCGAAATTTTAATGAGAAGCTGTCACCTGTGGGGTCAACCAGTCGGAAGTAAAGCGGATACCTACAGAAGACCTTGAAGGGTAGTCACAGCATATCACGAATTGGCAGAGGTAGGGAACTGTGGGCCACTGAACGCTGACTCCCTGCTCTATCAGCTTCCAGGTATCCATCGAGATCCATTCCTTGTCTTCTTTCTTCTTCCCTCCTAATAGGCTTGGTTATGCAGGTTTCTTTCCACATAGCTTTCAAAGACTTCCAGTGTTCTTCCACACAGGTTTCTTCAGGGATGTTGCTCGATGTCTCCCATTTTGTCTTGATGGCTGGCTGCCGTGAAGATTTCTTTTGTAGTTTTGTCCTTCAGTTTCCGAGTGTTGTACTTGAACTGTGGTCTATCACCAACTTCTTTGAAGGTTTTCAACTTAATTTTGAAGGTAGGTTCCTTGCACTATATGTGAGTGGTGTGAACCTAAACCTGCTTCTCTTCTTGATCAGATCTTTTGTCAAGTACGCTGCGTCTCCATTTTCTTGAGATTGGGATTTTAGTGTAGTGTGTCCTGGTGTCTGGTGAAATCCATGTGGCTTTGTGGATATCCTTGTGCTTGAACACAGTGCCTTGCCTCCAATCACCAAATCGTTGAATGCACAGAAGTCTGTAAACAATTCTTCATTCTCGTTCATCACCTCACCTAGCGCTTCTCGACCCGTGGTTAGTTCTGTTCTTGTGTTGTCCGCTCCCAGCTTGACATTCATGTCGCCCATTAGAATTTTGATGTTGCCAACTGGAGTGGGGTCTTGTCCAGTGTTGATTGCAGTTGTCTATAGAATTCCTCCTCTTGATCTGCATTATTTGTAAGTGCATAGCGTAACATTGTATGATTGTGACCTTCCTTCCTTCCTTTTGAGTTGAACCTAGCTGTTATGATCCTGGAGGAGATTGGTTCCCACTGTATGAGAGCTCTATGCCTAACCTTCCCTCTTTACTCGGGCTTAGGACCGGCTAAGTAACTAGTGAACTAGTTAACCAGGCGAGGTTAAGCTTATTTCCTTACAGTCTTTTATTCACATTCCATTTTAAAAGTGTATTCACCTCAAACTTCACTTGTTTTAAGTCATGTAATTCCATTTTATAATTGTAGACCCTGGTGAGAATTTAATTGGAAAGAGTATTCGTTCAGATTATTTTCAGTATACTTAGGTGTTAATTATTTTTCAAAGGTTGATAACACAACTGTCATTCATTACTATCAGTTATATTTTAGAGAGCATGAGTATCGTTTTTGAAGTGTTGAATGGTGTTGTAGATGCTTACTTTTAATGAATAGTTTGCTATGATATTGTTCTTCAATCCTTTTCAACTTTCGCTACTCTTGTCATTGTCTAGTATAACTGATTCCTTCACAATGTATGTGTTCTTTAAATCAATATTTTTAAGCATTCTGGTAGCCTAATTGACTCATGAAGTTTGAATCACATTATTTCAATGGCATATATGTACATTTAAAAAAATGGAACTGTAAAAAGTGAACCATAAATCTTGGTGGATGATTAAATCTTATGAAAATCTTTATGTAGAAAGATAGTGGTAAACATATGTGTTGCTATTGTTGTTGTTTTTACCCTCCATTCAGATTTCTCGCTAGCTGCTAAAAAACAGTGGTACGATATTCATTAAGATGTATTTATATTGTAATGAATATATTTCGTCTTTGTGTGCGTATAAGTGTATCTTAGGTGACTGATCATATATTTGGTGTGTATATAACTTTAACATTTGTTATTTAGAGTACAGGATTATTCAATAAGTTATCTTTTTGATGTTGAGTTGGTATTTTGTTAAATTGAGGTAATTTTATTTCGTCGAAGAACTGCTTATCCTTTTAAAAATATTCTTTTACTTATGTAGATAGAATGTTTTTTATATCCTTAGATTGTTAAAAGTTTCACCATCTACCAAATTTGTGTTACAGTGAACCCTACTAAATGTCTACCTTTTATGCAGCATGTTCAAATGTTCCTAAACGATTTTTTTCTCAATAGTTGTAACTCTGAAAAAAAATGTTTCTCAATTATTAAATCTCATCTTCATGTTTTACTCTAAAATGCAGATAAACTGAGACATTATCAACATGGGATGTGACGTTATTACCTAGCCATTCTTATGTCGCATTGCACCTCAACTTACCAGGGTAAATGCTAGCAAAAAGGGAAAACAGAAACAGTAAAAAAATATAGTGTGGGATCCAAATAAAAACTTCCGACAAAAAAGAGGGAGAGGTCGAAAGGATGTAAGTAACGAAGTGTGAAATTGCAGCTAAGATGAAGACAAGGTGTGGATGGATCAGTTTCTATACCATGGGATAGACGAAACCTAGCATGGAAGTATATCACTTCACACATACCCTTAACAGTAGTATGCAAAGACAAGTGGATAGAAGAAAAAAGTGTAGGAGGGGGGTTAAGAGAAATAATAGTTAGATAAAAGTTGATGAAAATATTCAGGACTTTGAAGATGATAATGTGGTCAACTTTGAGAATTGTCACCAAGATTCTCCATTCGTTAATTCCTATCATCTTGATGATCTCAGTTAGACTGCCTTTTGTTGTTTAACTTATTAATCATGCGCAAGCTTCTGCACTAGACAATGAACTACAACTATTGTTTTAGCGGTGATGACCCCAACTGTTCAAACCTCAGTAGGTGGAGTAGATTTTTGACGTGTGACCTAGTGGTTGGGAATCAGTTTTGTCTAGACCTTACAAGATAACTCAGGCAAACGGAGAATTCATGGGTCGGCACCGCATCTTACTCTGTCCACCTCAGAGTTTCCTTCAACACTATCCTACTTCGGTTAACACGCATCAAGATAGCCGTTGAATTTCCTTGTGTAACCTATATTTAGACCACTTCAGTACAGTTTACATTTCACACGGTAGTATAGACAACATCTGTAGTCACTGCTAACTCATTCACAAACCTTGATTTGATTACATGTATAATGTCTTGTGTTATATTCCTAATATACACTAATTTAATTTGTTGCCTGCACTTTATCATTTGTGCTCACATAGTAATTGTGTACACCAATAAATTCTGTCACCTACGCGAATGTTATTGATTTTATATTTTATCCAGAGTGAAATTGAATCGAATTCAGAGGATGAAAATGACACTGGTGATGCAGATGAAGATGCTGATAATGACCTTGAATCAGATCCTGCCACTGAATAACTAATCAATTATGTACAAGCGAAATAAATATTTCTTATCAAAAAATGCTGTTAAGAATGTATATTATTGTGTGTGTATATCTTTGTAAAGTAAAATTTATACTTAGTCTATTCTTAACTGTTCTTTTAGTTTATAACATATGTGTATGTGTAACTGAAGCAATTGTGAATTATTTCTTCATGAATATTTAATAAATGTGTATATTTTCGACCAGTAATGTTTTTCTTTTGTCTGCTTGATCTTGAAGTTTGTGGACGGATGAAGTGTTTGTTGGTTTTTAATAGCTAAAGATGCGTGAATTGCAACAATTCACAGATATGATTTTAGAACACTATTTTATCATAATTAGTGGAATAAACGTAGGTCAAAATATTCCATCATTGGGTTCGGTCATGAACATATTTCGAGTTCGTAGTGCTTCATCCAAATTCTTTTGTATGTTGTAACGTTTTTCGACCAGCTAACAAAGTATACTCTAGTACAATATGCTGTTCTTTTGATTACTTAAGGACTGTAGGAAAATCCTAGACAGGCAGCTAATATCATTGGGCGAATAACTGAATTGTGATGGATAGTGTCAAGATGGTATCATATTTGTCGATAAGGCGGTTCTCTATGGTGACTAATATCTCCAGCAATACTACCTTCTAATTTCACTTATTCTTCTTCTTCACTTCGCGGGATTTGTATTTATCCTCATCGGTTTCTTGAGAAAACGATCAATACTCTCTTAAAACCAGCATTTCTTTAAACATGGTTCTTTCTTTTTGCGCCGATGTTGTACCCTGTTTTTTTCTTACAATTAATAAGTAGTACTTTTATAAAGGTTTATCGTGTAGTGCCTTCAATGTTGAAAGTATTAATTGATCTTACACGTTCCTATTCATCGTCAACTATAATCTTTTCATCTGTTTTCGCTATCTGTTGTCACTTACAGTATTATCTACTCAACTTCCAAGTATGGTAAGGGCTCAAAATCTTTAGGTAATTCTTTTAGTCTTCTAGAAGTTTTGTTTCTATTGAATTTCTGAACCTGGCACTAATAGTTGGGTTTGATTTTTAAAAGACTCAAGAACCCCAAATAAAGTTTCCACTTGAGAAATGATTGCGCTTTGGAAACCTTGTTGGAGATGAGTCCTGATAGAAACCGTGAAAGCATGTAAATTGCAATCGTCAAAATTCATTGGTTCCGCTCGTCTTTTGAAGTTTTACAAAGAGATTAACGTGGTAGATCATAACGCTATTGTCGACTGTTGGTGATTTTCTGAAAACGTCATTCATCTGTGGTTACCTTTAAATTCTGACCATGAACTGAATGAAGTATTTATATTTCTACGCCTTTATAGGTCAGAATAATACTTCGAAGTCGCTTCTATTCAGTGGTTTAAATATTAGTCAACTGATCACTTGCTCAGACGCATTACATTAACTTCGATATTCATAACTGACTAGTAGCGTAAATTCTCACACATCGAGTTTAGCAGACAAAGGTATTTGAGTCTTTTGAATTCCATTATGCTTTTCGCTAAATGTTACTCTTTCAAGACAGATTATAAATTTTGTATTCAAGACGAATTAGTTATCAGAACATTATAGGATAAAACGAAAACAAGATGGAAGTTTAGACACCCTTGTCTATAGGAAACCTTTCCATTCAAATCTACACTTATACTTCGCATCATTTCAGCCTGTTATTTAGTGTGAGGTTTATTAAATGTCTAAGTAATTGAGAAAAAAAGCTCACTAGCGAGACAGAATCTGTGACAAGAAGTTAGACACGTTAACCATACCTTTCATCTCAGTAATTTTTCACCTAAATTTATCAATCGAAATCGAGAAAGGTATGATCAGTAGTGGCATCACAGGTGTTCATAATAATAGTAGAAATATTGGTGACACTATGGAGACAGAATTCAAAACCTCTATTATATTGCCATTCAAGAAAGTTACGTGGGTAGGGTTACGAAGAATTTTTAGTAAGGCTGGGATTGAAGTACTATCTCGGCTTACGGACTCACTTAGAAACAAGCTTTATGGGTTAAAAGTCCCTATTAATCCAACTAGTCGAAATAAATTAGTTGAATAAATCCGTTGCAATGATTTTGATGTCAAATGCGTAGATCAGAGCAGTCTTCTAGGACCAGTTAGGTTGTCCGAGCTCAAACACAATCAAGGATGGTAAATTTTAGGAACATGAGAAATCTAGGAAAAAGCTTGGTTATAGTTATGTGTGCAGTTACACACAACTATATAGAAGAGTAGGACACAATGACGGTGTTCAGAGCTAACTTGGCTGGGTAGATGGAGAGATTAATGACCAAATCTTTGTTTATCGAATCAACACTGAATATGTGCAACAGGAATGAGTAAACACCTGTTTCAGATATATGGAAAACTACTATCGATATTACAAAGAAGGAGAGAGAATTAAAACTATGTAAGCCGTATCTCAAAGTTGTTGAGTTAATTGATATGGATTTGGACAATAAATTGTACCCGAAAGATTATTCAGTTTCCTGTTTCCTTTTTTGATACGTCTAATAAACAAACTAAAATGGTGTGCTGGTCTTAATTATATGAGAAGAATATCAGTTTCTCGTAGTGATCGGTTAAGTGTTAGGAAGTGTTTGTTGAAATATCGAAGTGATATAGTTTGAAACTAACCATACTGACATTAATGTATTCAGTTCGTCGTAAAATCTTGAATTCCTTAATATCCCAAACTTGCTCTTTGTTTGATGTATAAATATTCAAACCATATTTGCTACAAGTCTCCTGGAAGAATTTTATCACAATGTTTAACTTGGTCATCATAAGAATAAGCTTTTATGCAATGCAAGGGTGTTTAGAAAATCGAAATGAGATTTCTTCTGTATGTTTCGCTGTGTAGACGTATCTTCTGCAGAGATTGTTTGAAAAAAACCGCCTTGCACAATAAGGCTCCTAGAAAAATCTTGTTTTGGTATTACATCAAGTTTTATTTTTATAATGAATATTCTTTTCCATTACTCATCCTTCTCACAGTTAATGGATCGATTTAGTCAATGTATTGTCTCCCTAAGCTATACGTTGTTAGTTTCGTCTGTGTATTATGAATTACTACTTCAATATGTTTAGACCCTTATGGGAATTTCAATAAACCAGTACAAGCCAATTTCGCAGTATGCATCGTATTTCACCGCCCTCTTGTGATCTACTTACAGTTTGTTAAAGTAAATTAGTGGAGCGAATAAAGTGTAGCATAGTATTGTAGTCTATTTTATAACTAGCAGTGGAATTCAGGACGCACGTTTTGTCCTGTTTGGGACTTGTTAGTCGGATGTACCTGTTTCTCAGTGAGGAATGTCCCCTCGAACTCATTACCCATCGCTTCAAAAGCCAAAACGTTGTCCACAAGGCCACTAGAAAACGCGAGCCGCTCGCAACGGTTGTCAGCTGTTGTTTGATACTTACAATTCCTCGTTGCTATACTTCGTTGAATTGCTCGACTTCTGTTGGCAGATAGGTTTCTATAAGGATGCCTCACTGGGAATAACATCACTCACTGGGGTGCAGGTAAATCGAGCTGACAAGTCCCAAATAGAGGGAAACTTGCATCCTGGATTCCACTGCTAGCCATCAAATAGACTACAATGTAATGAATATCCAGAGAGTATCGAGACATCCGAATAGGAGCGTATTTGCAAGCAGAGGTCGAGTAATTCGACCCAGTATAGCAACGGCGAATTACAGATATCAATAGACAGAGTGCAACATACTTCAAAGTTTCAAATCCATAGCCTAATTAAGGGTAGTAAAAAAGTTCAAAGTGTAAGGTTAGAATAAGGCAGTTAATTTTTGGGAGGCCAATCAAGAAATGGTCATAAGCACAATATTTTGATGGTAAAATGAAGGTGCGTAAAAATGAATGAGATGTAGTCATTTCTCAGATTAAAAAAAAGAAACTTAGGATAACGGTTTCAAATATGTGCCCCGAGAATATTGTAGGTTAACTTCTGATGAAAGACCAGGTTGTAGCTTCTTGATTGAGGTTGTTTTATTGAATAGGTGTAAGGTAGAATCAAAATGTTTATTGGCTATTTTAATGTCATGTCCTATTTCAAGCTAACAATAAGCAGTCGAGGTGTCGATTCTATACAGATCTTAGGTATAGGTTTCTTGAAATGCATCTAAGAAAATAAGTAGTTGTCGATCGCTCTGTCTTTCCAATTTACTTGTTTGAAGTTAAATGAAATGAATATCGGTCTGTTCCTTTTTATATCACTACCTCATGTGATGGGATTGTTTTAACTGCAGGAAAAATGTTGTTGAGTACAGCTTTCAACCAGTAACTGAATTTAATAATGACTTGAACCCGTGTAAAACCTGTTCTAGTAAACGCCATTTCGTTCTCTGGTTTATTTGGTGTATCTTTTGATGGAGTTTCAGTGACATACTCATCAGTAAACGTTTCTTTTTTAACTATTGTTCTGTAGAGATTTCTTGATAATGCTTATTATTTTTCGAGTTTCTCTGCCTAGCAGATTTTCTCAGACCTGTTGTACAGTATTCTACCCAATCCTCTTTTGTAGCTTATTGAACAAATACTATAGAAGCTCAAGTATCGCGCACCTCAGGCTTCTTTATGATAAACATTTTTTTTGATTTACCTTATTTATTCGTTGTGTGCAAACTAGATTTAAAAACTGAAAGGTCTTTTTGACGTTATCCATGTCAATGGAAATTTTTTTAATTCTATTCTAGCATTTTAGTCTTTCTTATTGTTCTCTTATGTATTATAGATTTAGATCTCTGAAGTATGTTGATCTTTATGCACTTCATTAACTGACTACTATCAATAGCTTGAAAACCTGCAGTAAAATATCACGTTTACCACTACAATTTTATATTATTACTGCATTTATTTGTTGTATTTGTAGCTTATGCAGTGTTTTCATTGAAAGTGTTTGGTTTTATGTTTCTTGAAATTTGTGGTCTTCAGCTATAACAGTCAACTTTTAATGACCATCTAATCAGGAATTTCCATAGTCTGCCAATGTTGAGACAATTTTTTTAAGGTTTATTCTGGTTTGATGCTATCTTTTTAGGCCGATAAAGGCGTATGGCATACGCAGCGTGACCGAAATACTTTATTTCTCCAAATAATATACTGTATGAGTTGTAATATTCTGTGAACAAAGCAAGGGAGATTATACTTGCAGAATAAAAGGATATCATTCTATTTCAGTGACCATCGTCAAGCTTAGGCCATTCGAAACCAGAATGGTCACTGAAATAGCCAAAAATATAAAATACTTATAAAAGGTAGACTAACAACTCGATTTCATTGTAAACTACGTAATCCACTATCTTGTAGAAGTAAAAAGTGGCATATTGTAGATTAACATCATTGGTAATTCATATCAACCAACTAACCTCCATCAAAGTGCACTGCGAAGATGAGCCTGCTAACTTGGTAGCTACATTGCAAAGTGATCGGTAGGGTTCAGTCAGAACTTAAAACTAAACAGCATGAAGTTGGTCGCTCTTCAGTCACGAAATGATATATCTAATGCAATCTTACAGAAAGTCAGTCGCGGTCGGAATAGCTCAGTGGTAACTTCGCTGACTGGAACACTGGGTAACATGTGTTTGAATCTCAGAAGGGATATCAGTTCCTTCGAGGATGCAGATACGTTTTCCCGACGACCACCAACAATCATAAAGTCTGTATCGAGCAAGGGTTCCTGCCGACTGCCTCCAGTCAGCTAACATGTAAAATTTGGCGTGCAGTTTTTATAGTATTTGGTCTTTGTTTCGATGACTAATTACTACTAGTGTCATTCCAATTCGTTGGTTGGTTGGTGGTTTTATTCCATGTGTGAATTGTGTTAAGAACCGATAAGTTACCCTTAGTGTGCTCCTGATACTCATTTTAACAACCTACCTAAATAAAATACTGTATAGCATGATTAAATCCCCCTTCTGCCTATGATACAATGAAGAGAAGAGATTCAGCTCTTGAATTAGTTCTTTCTATGTCAGGCTAATCATAACAGACATCAGTCGAGTAGTTATCGTCTAAACTTTTTCTGGTAGGTCTGAGTCACCGTTCAAACAAGGATTTGCCACTTGTGCGCAGTATTTTAGTTTCGATGTAAGAATGTATGTAAGGTGATGAACATGTTACCACATCCTGATAAAAGTTGTAACGTAGTATCCACAGTGTTGTAAATATCGACTTCCCAGTTGGGGTCTGTTTGACCATAGAAACTGGTGGTTAGATACTCTAGGTAATATGTCTCAGAATCAACCTCAGTGGTGCAGATGTATTGAGACATTATCTCCATCTTAATTGTCATTTTGAATTAAAGTATTGTCTTTTTACTCCTTTCCCTCTTTTCATGTCTTTCTACTACTTGTGGTTGCTTCATTCTTTATTTCTTTAACTTTCATCTTGATGCATTATCGCTTGATGTGGTGATATGAGATGTAGCAACTCAAGCTGTTATGCGGTATTCCCAAGTCCCATATTGATATTACCTCTCAATCCTGACTCCGAGCTGCGACCAATCGACAGTGTGCTATGTATGATCTCCAAACCATAATCTACTGTGGCTCATAGGTCGTTGTAGGTCAATACTAAGAGTAGAGGAGTCCCACCAACATCGCAGGCGTTGCCGTCTAAATACCTCATGTGCATGCTCACATACTTACCTGCGTTAATCAGTATCAGCCGTTTCTCTGATTAGTTTAACAAATTGTTTAGGTCTGTCTGAAAAGTGCGTACATCGTCATCATCCGTTATTTCTTACCTATTTTTTGCATTGTCACTGTGGAGAATCACAAGGAATTTCGTGATATACAGCAGTTGATTTATGTATATGAGAAGTAGTAAAGGACCGAAGACTGCCTTGCAGCGCTCCACCATGAGGATAGGAAAACGTGGAATTGGTCCCTACTTTTTCCTCCCACCACTAAGGAACTCTGGGATACTTGTAAGTAGATTGTAAATGTTTCAGCAACTTTCTCGTTACATGCACAACTTGGAGTGAGGTACCTTACCAAACGCCTTATGAAAATCTATAAAAATGGCATCTATAGACTTTCTATGAAATTTAGACTTAACCCAACTTCCCTCTACAGTGAATTTTGTCAAGCATAATAAATTTCTGCAGAAGCCATATCGCTTATATGACAATAGGGTACTACTTTCTAGGTCAACTGTAATGACTTTCCTGATTAATCTTTCTAGGATTTCAACTGGGGTATTGATAAGTAAATTATTTCACGTTCACTTCGGTTCTTGTTATCTCTGCAATGCTCAATAATCTGTATTTTAGGCGTGAAACTGAAAGCTGCAATTTTACTATACATTCCAGTTTGTTTGCAAACATTATGGAACATTCAAAAACTTGGCATATTTCAATGCATGTACAATCAGCACATTAACTAAGAAGGAGAAAATGAAACATTGTACTTCATGCCATTAAAAGTAAGTTTGTTGGTAAGACCAATTGGTTTGTTGAAGTTTATTTTCAAAAGATGCACTACCAAGCGACATAAAAAGGTTATAAAATGTTCTTTTTCTAAATTAGTACTAGATTTTCTTAGAAATTCAAATATTTAATGTGGCATCCGAAGTGAATTAAGTAGTTGGGAAATAAAGGCCAGGAATTTTGAAAATTCTAGCCTAGTGACCAGTCTGTTACTGTTATCAGGTTAGGAATTTTTCCATCTTTGCAAGTGGCAAAGTATAAAGACACTATTGATGTATCATTCAGTGTTATATGTCTTATCGATAGCAGTAACTTTACAACTATAATACTAATCATGTCCAGCAGACAATTCATAGTTAGAGGACTTGATATCGTATCGCAACTAAATATGTTTGGTTGTATGGCTCACTGAGTGAGAGTATTCGAAAGTTACGATGTTTTGGTTATCTTTTAGAAAATATAGAAACCAGATAAACTACCTAGCATGATTAATATGTGTTACTAATTTCAGAGATATCTATCAACTTTCGGTCAATTTCATCAGAACAGTTAGTGGAAATTAGAGTGTATTGGAATATTCCTAGGCTTCTGGAACCACCTGGATATTCTGTGATTACAATCACATACATTGCACCTGTTTAATATCTTCACTTCATCAGGAGTTGGTCAAAGTCAAGGTTATCAGTCGTTGTTTCTGGTTTTAGTGTCACAAAAATTAATGCTAATTTTAAAATATCTCAAGGTTAGGTCAGTGATCTTAAGTTACTGTTTTATTGAGATGGAATTATGAAGAAAACCATCTTCAGGTTTACTAGACTTGAGTATTCCGTTGAATTGAAACCTAATTGCTTTATTTTTTGAAGATAATTTCTAACAAACTGTGTTGAATAAAATTAACTGCTTTTATTTTCGATAGTGTGACTAAATGATGACTGACGTTGAAACGAAAAACTGGATTTAGTAGGTAGTGGTTTTACACTATGATACGTAATAGTGAAATCCACTTACCGATAGAAATCTATAAAACTGCTGGAAGCTTGAAGTATTTAACTTCGAATCGAATCGAACTGTCTATATTAGCTAGTCATATTGTTTTCAATTTAATTTTCTACAGACTTCACTGTGATACATAAAACGTCAAACTACTCGTGTTGATTTTGCAGTACTAGGTTGTAAGACACACTTCTTGTGGATTCTTATTGTGCTACCTGAGCACCAAGTTCAATCTAGGTGGAGGAGATGAAATAAGTAATCCAGTGATTGAGAGTTGGAAGTCTGAAGCAATATATTTCAACTCTTTAAAGTTTCCGATCTAGACACAGATAGAATAGGTTTCTTGAAAAAGGTTTAGGCACAACATTTAAATCTTTGTACACTTGATAATAATCTCAATGTATTCAGTCAACGATACTTTCGGAGCTTCAATTTTTATTGGCTAACTAGCCAAGTGAACTGTGAAACAGCCTTTTGTTATAGTTTTTTGATACGATAAAAAAGTGATGTGAAGATTTTTTTGAAATCATTTTTCACTGGAAATTAATTAACGATTGATTAAAGTTAGTTAACCATTCAGTTAAAAATTTGCTAGAAAATAAAGTTGGTAAAAGTTTCCTAATAGGATATATTGTTGAAGTAATGAAATAGTTTTAAAACCATATTATGTTTTATTTTACCCTCCAAACAGCAGAAGCTAATATTAATCAGACTGTGTAACTTTTAAATCCAGACATCTAACTATCTAATTATTTTGTTTACTCTGCTTTTTTACCAGTATATTATACAAAGAACAAGAGAAAAACAGCTTGATTTTATTTTATGATGTCACGTGTGAGATATTCTTACCAAATAGCGTATATATTAATAGAGTTAGGTCAATTGGATTCTATAAATTAGTAATTGGTAAAGTAAATGTATTTTTGAACAGTAAATGCCGGTTGCACAAAAGCTTGTTGCTGTCTCACTTGCCTAAAATATAGATGTCTTAGGGATCAAATAATGTACTTTAAATTCAAGCCTCATTGCAAACTTCAATATATACTTACATGCAAATATGCTTAGATAGTGTTTATCATATACTGTTAGTTGTTTCGACATCCAAAGTGTGCGCTAACAATATTTCATTTGCTGTATTATATATATATATGCGCATATTAGGAACATTCTTATCATTCTTATTATTAGATGGCATCTCAATAAAATAAAGCAGTATGTCTTTGACATTTTGCGACCTAATGGTGGCCGCTTCTTCGGGGAGTGAAATCTGAACAAGTTAACACATTACTATTTGTTGATATGTTTGTAATCCTCCGTTGTTCTACTGGATCGAGTTGTTCAACCTTTATTAGCATATGGGTTCCTATGCGGCTGCCTCAATATTGCCTGAATGTTAATTATAATAATTTATTTGGTTATGGCTGGGGGAGGAATCCAAGATGCTCGTTTCGTCCTGTTTGGAACTCGTCAGCTAGATATACCTGCACCCCAATAAGTGATATTGTTACCACTGAGGCCCGAACCTCATACCCATCGCTTCAAACGCCAAAGCATTATCCACTAGACCACTGAGGCACGACAGCTACCTTTTATAAAATGGGTGTTAATAGTTATTATTATTTATTGATATGCTTGTAATTCTCCGTCGTTACGTCCAGCTGATGAGTCCCAAAGGAGATGAAACGCACGTCCTAGATTTCTCTACTGGCCATGATCAAGTAAATTATCATAAGTTATCACATATTGAGTCGGCAAACAAACGGAAATAAAAATAGGTATTGTGTGTTTTACATTTCATTAACTATCCTATGAACATCGTTCATTAAAAAGTCAAAAAGCAGCTATCTAGTACTCCCAAATTTTTAATGGTTCCCCAACTGATATCATTTCATGATGAATATTAACTTAACAATAATAAGTCCACCCCCCCTCCTCAAAACCTTAAAATTGAATCACTATCCAGTGGTCATTAGTACCATGCTTCGAGATGGATATCCTGAAGTTCTGATAAGAAGTGACTGGTGCGAAAAACTAAGTCAAACGTGAGGACAAATACTCGACGATGGCATTGGAAAATGGTCGCGTTATATCGGGAACTGACAGAAGTAGAAAAATGTAGACCACTGGATTCTGACCAAGTTGCTTGGTGGTAATGTGCCCGCGACAAAACCTGAAGGCTATGGGTTTGATCCCTGACGAGGTCGTGGGTGCGCACTACTGAATCCCATTTTGGGAAGCGCTACCTAACCAGTACTCCTAGATTTTGAATGGTTCTCCCATTTATATCAGTCCATGATGAATACCAACTTAAATTACTTAACGTCAGTGGAAAGGTAGCAGTCTACTCATATATATATATATATATATATATATATATATATATATATATATATATATATATATCTTGCTATTTCTTGTTTCCTTGAATTTAGATTTGTTGCAATTCGATTCGTTGTTGTCTTTGTCCACCGTCTGGTTATACACACTAATAAGGTAACAATAATATTTACTTTTATCATGCTTTTCGTTGAATATTATTTCTTCGTAGTAAAGAAATGCATTGTTCTTCAGTCCAGTTCTTCGTTTCTTTGAAAACTAAAAAGGGTACAAGTGCTTCGCCACATTGTTAAGAATTCCATCTTACTGAGAATTTTTCAATTTCGAAGTAATTAGTTTTTATTTTATAGGAGCAATAGTGATGTTGAATAATATGTAATAATTAGTTTTAAATACTTCGTAACAGTGTATAAGAAAATTATTCTTTAGGCTTATTCTGAGATCACTTACGATCACGTCTAAATCCTCTTGAATATCACTAATATTTCGGAATGATGTCTGTCAAACCACGTTTAGTGTTCCTGGATGTGTGGATCTGTATTATACACCATCAGAATCTGAAAGGAGTACCACCTGGAGGTGAGTTGATCATATGCTTGAAACACCAAATCGAACATCACTTGTTTCTTCATCAAAATATAGTATATGTCATTCATTTGATTCGAATAATCATATTAGGGAATGCGAGAGTACTATCAACGGATATAGGTAGATTAAACCACTGGATGTACATAGCTAGTTTTGATGATCAAATAAAGGGGATGTCAACACTAAATGTGATCGTACTTTACGTATGTGCATTTTAAAGGTATAGTATTTAACTTAATTTACACGATTTCAATTGGCATTAATTTTTCTAAACCTGAATTTCCGGCAAGCCACAAGCATCAGTAGATCACTTTCTAACCTTTAAAGTTGGTTGTTCATATTTTCGCTTGAGCCGGTTTAATTACTATTCAAAATAGGATGTTTGATATTGTCGTTTCAGACAGTTACTAATTGACAAAGCGTTTTACATGATGAAGAAGAGGATATATCATGTTGCAATGATCACCAAGGTGAACTAAACTGACTCTCACTTTCTGCTTGACTCTGAAATTTCTATGTAATAACTGGCATCTCAAACTGATGATACTGGCTGATTACTGGGTAGTTAGCCAGTGTTATGCTATCCAGTTTTAAGCGTTGACTAAACTCTGTCGACTAAGTTTTCAAAGTAACTGTCAAACTGTATCAATCGATTCTGCGATGTTTATTTACTGTTATCTGGAGTATCAATGGGAATCTGTTTTATCATAGATGTTTATGTGAAAACGGTTTTACTTTTTCAGTTTTTGAGGCAATCTTTCTTCTCACCGTATGTATTGAGAAAATTCGGAATCCCCTGCAACAGCTAACTGTTCTTATTGAGTCATATTGTGCGGTGTTATGATTCATGATAAGAATTCACTCATAAACTTTACCCAATATAGGATCTGACATTACTGTGTAACCTTCAATTCTGTCACATTTTACACGAAGGTCAAAGTTAACGAGTGACTAGATGAACCAGTGAAAGGAGTAACAGAGGAAAAATTATAAGAAAACGACAAAGATCGATGGTTTTACCCTTCAGATAAAGATGTGACACAAATGCATTCACACTATGATGATCAATTTCTGACCTTGTGACCTGGAGACTGCTACTTCATTTGCATTGTGAATGTCCTACCGAAAAGCTTACATTTTTTTCGCAAGACTCAGAACAACAGTCAGAAACGTGATAAATTGACTCCATGTTTTGACCTGGCCACCCTTAACTTCTTCCCAACCTAACCTTACTTAAGCTAGTGTAGCTCTTTGAGGTTAACAATGATTCGGTACATATAACACATATTCCAACCTTGTGAGTCGATAAAAGTTCGCAACCATATCCACTGACTTGTTTCCTATGTGTAATACTTTGTTCCCGACCTTTATCCTTCAAATACTAATGGCCTTTCACGAATGAGAGAAGATAACCCAAACTTCAATTGTATTGAGAATACGCACAAATATGTGTGTGTGCGTGTGTGTGTCACCATCCGTAAATGATAAAACGATTAACTATTTTATTTGTCTTACTGCCAACTTCATTATCCTTCCTCCTGAAAGACTTGCATTTTCGACAAAGCTAAGTATATGAAAACGCTGTCGATAAAATAAGTAATGTCATTTGATGCACATGCATTCACTTTCTTTTTGTTCTATAATGCTAACTGTTACCGCTCATGTGAAAGTAAAATTATAAGTATGCTTTTCTATTTCCTCTTTTTGACTTATGAAATAAAACAAATAGGTTTTTTCTTGGTGGGTTGTATAGGTAATGGGGTTTTAAAATTTACTGGTAGTCAGTGGTAGAATTTTAGGAGAGCATTCCATCCTGTCATACAGTTGTCTTCTACACTTGCTTGTACCGATTAACTCTTCTGGACAGCCATAGGGTAGAAACAAGTCGTAATAACAACTAATATATATTCAACAAGACGAGACTATTGTGAATCAGAAATTCAAATGACGATCCTGTGAATTTTTAAGTTTTTTTACACTTATTTCACGTGTCACTGAGATCGATAAAAACAGCGACACGACAACGATGTTGAAATGTACCAAGTCAGACTAGACTGTTTGGCACTCAGCAACCTTGTGCACATTTGTGCAGTAGACAGTGAGTCACATTTGTTATGTGAGGGCTAATGATACTATCTAGTTATCGAAACTTCGGCATGTGGAGCGGGGCTCGAACCCGTTACCCAACAGTTGGAAGTTGTCTCCTTAAACAATGAGCCCCAGATCTCCCCCTAAAGGCAGAGTAAATATATATGATGATTCTCCGTTAGAACTAATTAGAGATTTCTCATTCCTGTATTGCTTTAAAATGCTAATTGGTGCACATTATATATACTGATCAGTAAATCTTTCTGTCTATTGAATGTGCGTATTGTTATCTTTAATTTGAGCTCTTTAACCAAATCCATTATGAAGATTCCTTTTTATTATCCGAACCAAATGATCCATGTTTCTCCGAATTGATATTACAGTATTTTTTTGGCTCATTATAGACATTAGATTAAAGATATTTAATTTTTCATTCATGGTAGTTTGTTCAAATACAGCTTATGTTTGTGTTCAATTTTTATTGGTTCACTAAGAATGTGTATTTCGTCTATTTGTTGAATAAGCCGACCAATTCTATCGCTTTTTATGTAATTATAAAAATGTACATTCTCAAATTAGTAAATATATTTTTCACTTTACTCAGATTTGTGTAATTGCCAATGGTTGACAAAGGATGTGTACTAGTAACCGGTGGTTCTGGTTTCATAGGAAGTCATACAATTGTGGAACTTCTTAATGTTGGTTATAAAGTTATCGCGTTGGATAGTTTATGTAACTCAAATCTAAGTAAGTTTTATATTATTTATTATTTTTAATTCATATTGTTTAACAAACTTCTTTTGTACATTGTAATTTGATATTTGCATGAAAGAGTACAATCAGCGAATAATCGCTACATTTATTATTTCATTAAATTACTTCCTATTCACTAGACAGTTTATAGGATGAATGATCGGTTATTCCTCGTATATTTGTGTGATATAAGTGGGTGAATAGTGAAACTGCATTGCATGTTTGTAGAAGACAGATAGTGACATTTAGTAATGATATTTTATTCTTCACAGAACTTCCATATATACTGTTTATTCGACGAGTAACCAACTACTTATGAGAAAAGTACATATGTTCTATTTTGATAGCTTAGTGTATATCAATCAAATGAACATTACTACTTTAAGTAATGAAATGTTTAGTTTTTATTTTCCAAAGGAAACAATAGGAATAAGTAAAATTGATTTACCGTCTTCCCTTATTTGATACACTTTATTTTTCTTTCGATTATATGACTTACGCTTCAAATTCACTTTCAGTATGCTGCTGGATCACTAAAGACAACTTTTAATGAAGTTCATTGGGGAGGCTTGTCTAAAGACAACTACCTTTTATAAAGCTCGCATTCATATTAGTTAATTGTATTCAACAATACAAAGTACAGTTGAAATATTTAAGAAGCAAATGACACTCTACACATGAATCACTAAATAATGACAACTACTTCTCCCACTGTCTGATACTTGCCTTATTGTTCAAATTGTATATTCTGGTCAATAGACTTTGAGTGCATGTTAACAATGAAGCATGTCTTTGATCACTGCCCACTGACTGCCTAATCATACCCTCAGTGTCTTGCAATAGTGAATTTCGCGAAAAATGTTTGTTAATATACCGTTACTATGACGAATAGTCACTAGTTCCATAATTTTCTAGTTTCTTTGCATTTGAAATTCCATACTATTTGCTCAATATTGTTGAAAAACAGATTAGTTCGACCGACAGACTGTCTCTATTAACTGATATCCACGCGAATAAGAAGAAGCTCGCTTGGATTTGGCCAACCTACACCATTTACGGCACTGGCGTGATAACCGATTGTCTACTACGGACCCAGTGTATTTTGTTGCAGTTTACCCTTTTCCGCTGTTTGACTGTGAAACATGGCCATTAAAGTTGGAGGATGTGGAAAAGCTTCAAATGTTCGAACACCGTCGCCTTCGTAGTATAGGCCGTGTGTCGTAGTGTCACCACATCGGTAACATGCGGTTTTAGGTAGCTGAGAAAAGTCTGTCGATGAGGTTGTGAACCTTTAACACTTCAGATGACTGGGACATGTGTTACGCATGATCAGTCACCGTGTACCTCATTGCAACGTTAACTTTAGTATTTTCAGGCTGGAAAAAGATCAGAGGTAGCCAGAATAAAACGTGGTACTTGTTGATAAAGCCATGGACTGTTAATCTGAGTCGTGTAGGGGAATATAGACTTCCAGGTTGGGGTCCATGTGAAAGCAGAAATAAGTGGGAATCGATTTTAGTGATGCGAATGTATCCAAACGTTATCTTCATCTTAACCGTTACACAGGATCTCAATTTTCTCTTATTCCTTCTTGCCCTGTTTTAACGTTTTCCTACTACTTATCTGCATTCTTTTTTATTTCTTTATCTTTCATATCGATCCATCCTCGCTTGATGTGGTTCTTTGAGGTGTGGGAACTTGGTCCGTTGTACAGTAATACCAGCCTGTATATTGATAATGTTTATCTGTCTTATCTCCTTTGAACAATGTTTTCTTATAGAATTTATTGTAACCGATATTGAACAAATGTTTTGTTCAAAATAATTGTATTATGTGAAAGTGTATAATTTTGTTTCTTTTTCGTTGTAGAAAATTTCCCTGTTTTTCTTTTCTTTGAATATTTCAATTATCCTAAGAGAGATAGTGTAGATAAAAGTAAAAGTCACTACTCCACTTATTAAATGCTTGAAAGTATGGATGTTTTTATAAGTAGCAAATTTTTTTGGATACCTATTCGGTTTACTGGTTATGTTATACATTGTAATGTGTGTCAGGCATTGTAAATTTTGTACATAATTGTTTAAAGTGAGGCTGTTGACGGTATCTGAAAAAGTAGCACTGGCTCTGTTTTTCAGCCTTAAGCAGTAAAGTAGTTCCCTACTAGTCAACTCATCACTTTCATTGCATTCTACAATTTTGAGTTGCTTATCATTGGGTTTTTTTCTTGGAGAGAAATCTTACTTTTAAGTTACTATAAGTATGTTGTAGATTTGCGGTATCAATGCGAAGAAAGGTTTACATATTTGTGTACCAATATATAATGCTTTGAAAATGTCGTATGTTCTCTGGATCAATTTCAGTAGTGTGTAAATAATACTATGAGAATAATACTACGTGTATGCAACCGTGTGACTTGTATTCACCTCAAGTTGTAGACAGAATTTATTGGCCATTCGAAATATTGACATCGACCATTGATCTAATCATTTCTTATTCATCACTTTGAACTCATTGAGTAATTAATTAATGAGAATAACACGTATAAACAGTGTAGTATAACTTGATGCATTCACTATTCAATAGTGTAGTAACTTGTATACACTTTATTATTTCGAGAAATGGTTTCTGCAAGGTTATAAAACATACTGAATTTACTTTTCCTTCTTTGTCTGGTTTTTAAAAAAATATCTATTCACTATAAATCATCTGCCTAATGCCTAACTTATTAAATTCTGTTATTTCAGTTCTTGTACTTCCCATTTTTTCATTTAAGACATAATTTTCCTTTTAAACACTTTTTAACAAGGCAGTATAGATAAGCTTCATGTTAATTGACTGATTGAATGAAAGCGAAACATTTCCATCGACGAATATAATAAACCATAAACTTTTTGAAAGATATCTAATACAGCTATAGAGAATGAAATCGCTGAAAAAGATATCTTCACTGAATTTCTCATTTTCTCTTATATTTAGTAGTATTTATATGGTGAATTACTTCAACTTCGGACCGACAAATTCTCCCATCGAATGAATTTCATTAAATTACTCCTTTTTACATTGTTTTCATCACTAAAATATCTCCTCTAGTTGCAAATTTTTGAAAGCTTTTAAGCCTATCGCTTCATATTTTTAAGATCTAGTAAGCACCATTCAACGGGCTTTTAGATGTACAACAGATGAAATAGCGATTCTTGAAATAGTCAGCATGAATTGTATGTCTCTGCGGAAAATAGTTGAGTCTGTTTTATTTCTGCATTGTAACAGTTGACAAAGTGAGTGTCAAAATATTTATTGACATTTTTTTTCGAATATCCCCTAAGATATCGGATTACTTAGACCTAAATATATGTGTATACAAGTTTTCGTTATGCTCATATTTATTTTTCAAATTGGTTTTCAGAATGTATAGAACGTATTGAAAAAATCGTTGGAAAACATCTTCCATTTTATAAAGTAGACCTTTTGGATGAACGGGCTGTGAACGATGTCTTCGAAAAAGTATGTTCTTTTTGTACATTGTTTTTCATAAGAAAATAGTTTCTAAACATTATTGAAGTGACTGACTAATACTTGATTGGGGATTTCTCCTAACTGCTGATGGGCTAAGAATTAGGAACTATCTTTTCATACCCACAAAACATGGACACATAACAATGGATACTGATCATTATAATACTATTCCCACATCACTGAAAGACGCAGAAGACGGGAGTGGGAAGGCAAGATTTATTGCTTTGGAAAAAGACGAAGACCAGCTGAAAATATGGTTGTTTAACTTCATTATTTCACTGGATCAATATCTACCAAGTTTAATATTGAAAGATTGTTTTCTAGGATAGCGGTTAATAAATAATGGACCAGTAAAATGTCAATAACATAGCCTTTGACCGAGGTGAGTAATGGACCAATGAAATACAAATGACACTACCTTTGATCAAGGTTAAGAACGAATATTTAGTCCACATTCCGCTTGGCAAACGTTCACTAATCAGCTGTCTTTCTATTCGTTCTAACAACTGTGGTATTGGTGAGTTGTCGAGCATACAAGTGCTTTTCATAGCTGATTAAAAAAAGTGAACTTGGATGTGTACAAATTTCGGTATCTTCAATCGATCTCATATGTATACTGCTAATACACGTGACATTGGTTTTACGAATTCAAACTATAACTTTATGGGATAGTATAATCCTAGTGAAATTCTTAAATAAGTAATTAGACTATAAACATGCAGACCATAGTTGTTACGAGTGTTCTGGACGAAATTGAGCTCCGACTCTGATTCAGTCATTGTAAGAATATACTTTAATATAATCCCAGAGTGTTTAGAGAATCAAAACAAGATATTTCTGAACGTTTTGCTGTGTAGGCCTCAGTTTCTTCAGCAGAATATACGGATTTTTATTAGCATCAAAATATGTAGTCAAATAATATATCAAATGTTTAGTGAATGTAAGTCATTGGTTAGGTAGTTTTCCTGTCCAGCCTGAACAATTAAGATTATAAGGTAGTATTCATCATGGACTGACATCATTTGTGGAACGACTGAAAACTGGACTAGACAGCTGTTTCGTCTTGGTATGGGACTCCTTAGCAGTACGCACCCACAACCCGGCTAGGGATCGAATCCAGGACCTTCAGTTTTCACGGCGAACGCGTTAACCATTCAGCCACTCGATCAGAGTTTAGAGGTTCGCAGTTTCCACAATCTTTGGATCGCATCCACTTCCCTTCTGACTGGTTGACCTCACAGGTCACGGCTTCTCACTAGAACATCGTACTATCCATCTTGAAGCATGTCACTAGTGAGGACTATTAATCTCAAAATACATTACCGTATAGTGTATGTTGTTGAATGCGTGGTTTCTTGTGCTTTTGTTTAAGAACTGTCAATAATATTGATCGTTATAGAAGCTTCAATTAGAAAAGGTCATCAATAATGGTTTTGTCGGAACAACGTTTACCAAATAGGTTGTTGTCAAAATATACTGGCCGTCGGAAGTTAATCTTTTTTTGATGCAAATGGAAACCTTTTCCCAATATGTCTAGATTCTCGAAGTCAATCATCTGCCCACTTTCGATTACATGCATAGCTATTGCTGATCGCTTCTCTAAATTTTTTAGTTCGTTTTCATTCATCGATGAATGTTTCGTACATAACTCTTGTTCATTCACTTTAAGGGTCTACAACCTTCTCCAACATTATTAGCTTCATATTTCAAATATTTAATTTTGTAGACACATTTGGTTTGTGTCATCTTAAGAATTGTGTCTTTCACTTCGACTCATATATTTGCTAATGGATTCGAAGGTTTAAAATATACTTTATTTATCTTTGCAATTTCTCGTTGATATACTGGGCCGGATTACCCTACTTTTGTTGGCAGATGGGCTCCTATAGGAATGCCACGATGCTGCCTGGATGTTCATTATATTGTAGCCTGTTTGATAGCCAGCAGTGGAATCTTAATTGATGGGGCTTGAAGTGGAGTTTGGTGTTTGAAGCGAAGGGTACTGAGTTCGAGTCCCAGTGGGAACATCACTCACTAGGAGGCAGGTACATCCAACTGACGAGTCCCAAAGCGGATCAAATGGGTGTGCTGGATTCCATTTCCTTACTTTTTCTTTATTCTTTCTAGGAGACTCATATATTTCAGTTAGGGGTCGTTTTGTCAATGTAGTTTACTACATGAACACGCATAAAGACTTTGTTAGCAGTTTGTTGATTGTTCAATCGTCACCAACTCATTTGTTATTCAGTATTTTATTATAAAATATTATAGTCGTAATGAACTTGTTTATATTAGTACGTATGCTTGTTTATACATAGAGAAGTTTTGCTTTCCAATCGACAGACTTGCTGTCAACAGCTGATGATTTATTTGTTGTCACAGTTTTGGATTTTATTTGTCAATTGTTATTGTGGTGTATCATTTAAAGTATATCGGTTCATAGTGCCATATGTAGTGAAGTCGTAGATATTTCACTTTGTACAACGAAAAGGGCCCAGTGCACCACTAACTAGAGCAACAAAACACAATTCAAATAGAGCTTTTTTACGATTCACATTGTATGTGCTAAACATTATCATACATCAAAATTTGTTGCTTTCAGGTTGATATTCATCATGAACTGACATTACTGTTTCTCCAACTTATGTCAGCCCATGATGAATACCAACCCGAAATCAATAATCAAGCCCCAACAAGCCTCCAAATTGAATAATTCTAGTTACCACTGGGGACTAGCTTCACGACATGACTCCCGAAGTTCCAGTGAAAAGCAGTGACCAGTGTGGTCAACCAAGTCGAACATGAAGACAGTTACTCAACGACAGCATTGGATGGATGTTGGACTATATCGTGAACTGACAGAAGTAGCAAATATAGACCATTGGATTCCGATGCAGTGTCTCAATGGTAACATGCTGGCCGCAGGACCTGGAGATCCTGGATTCGATCCCTGACAAGATCATGAGTGCGGACTGATGAGGATTCCTATACTAGAACAAAACAACTGTTCAGTCCTCGCAGATTTCCAATAATTCTCCCACTGGTGTTAGTCCACGATGAATACCAACCTGAAATAAATAAATAATTCCCCACAAACCTCATTATGATTTTATTATTTGTCCCTTGGGTTCCTAATGGAACATAAGGCTTCAGTAGCACATCTCCAGTGCAATCTGTTCTCTGGAAACTTTTGAACCTGCCTCCACAACAGCCCACAAGCTCTCATTTCTCCCTCGCACGATCTACTCCATGTCACCTTCGCTCAGACGCCCAACCCGCCGTTTCCCATCTGGGTTCCACTCGAGTGTCTGGCGCGTGATGTCCGCAATCGGTCTTAGTGTATGCACAATCCAGTCCATCCACTTTCTTCTGCATATTTGTTGAGTCATAGGTTCCTTTTAAGTTGAACCTTGCTGTCATGATCCTGATCCTGGACGAGATTGGTTCCCACTGCATGAGAGCCTTCGATGCTCTTCAAGGGGACATCATGATAACCACTCCGAAACTCAGTGTGCTCGTGGTTGTCGTCTGGGTGACAACGTCAGCGTAGATTATTGATTCTCTAGTTGACAGTTTGGAGACTCCACTTCCATTCCATCTGCTGATTCCTTGCAAATTCCCAACACTTCAATGCGATACCTTCTCATCTCGTTTGCAATCTGGGCAGCCTTGGTAGGTTCAAACATGGTGCGGACATTCCATGTCCCCACGTTTACTTTCGCTTCCATGGAGAGAAGAGTAGACAGATCGGCCAATTGGTTTCCCGAAGGCTTTCACCAATCGGCGTCATTTCGCCTCTCTGATTCCAGCGAGGAATAATTTTGTTTGTGCTGTGAAGTTTCTTTAGCAGTTAGATTTGTTTTCCGGGGTAGGGTTGCTAGCCCTATGCCCGACCTTCTCTGTTTACCCGGGCTTAGGACGGGCTAGTAACTAGTGAACTAGTTAACCAGACGAGGTTCCACAAACTTCAAAAGGGAATTAAATTTGCTAGTGTTTGTCAGTTTAAGAATAACTGTGATTCATTCTAACTTACTATTAGCCCCGTATTATTATTATTAGAATCCTGAAATACATTTAACGAATATATTAATTAAACAGCAGATTCCTATTTGTTTGAAGTACCTAGTATATTTCATTTTCTGTGCAAAATAATTATTTAGTCTACAGTCTAGTAAGCAGCTTACTATAAATATATACCCGAAGTTTGATTGACTTGGTCAGGAGAAAAATAGTAGGCCAGTTGTGAAGATATTCAGAAATGTTCATGTCTCGTTTAGGCATATCTGGCTTTACATAGGAATTGTAAGTAGGCCCCCAAATGTTGATTGGTTGTCGATCTATTGAATCATTATTGATACTCTTGCTTTCATTCTTTACACTACTGCTTTCTATGATTGTTTGATTGATTAGTCTTCTTCTTCCGTTGACTGACTATCTGAAGTTTTCGAAGTAGTAGGTGAAATATATTTCAGGTAATAGCTTCACGGGAAATACTGGTCATTATTTGTTTTATCGAGAATTCGAATCAAGGGCATAGGTTGACTTTATGTGACTACACTGTATCATAATTTTACAACCAGGGCTAAAATATGTTTATAATGACTGAACTAATGATAAGTGTGAACAGCAAAGATTATCTGTTGGTTACTGATTAGTTTTAAAGTCTAAGATGTATGTTTCATCAGTTGGATTTACGTACGTTCAAGTATATCAATATTTCTACTAGAATTGACATATGATGTCCATTCCACAGTTTGTTTTGGATGTATTTAACTCACTGGTCTTAAATAAAACGTAATAGGCGTTCTGAATTTTGCTAGTTACTTCGACACATTTCAAGGTTATAGTGTGCGGTTGTACAACAAAATCTTTATGAAGAACTGACATGCTCAGTAAACATTGATAAATTTGACCCGGAAAATCAATAAGAGACTTCTAATCAAAATAAAAGCAGGATTGTTCTATTTGACATAGCTTTTCTTAGATCC